CGTCCACCACATTTTACACACAGTCTTCCTCTTCTCCCTCTCAGATTGTTTCCATCCATTGTTCATATCAACATTTAGTGCACCAGTCTGAGCTGGCTTATTTTGTACAGTTGGTTTAATCACAACATTAGAAATAAGTGTGAACAGTTTTGAGTCGTTGTGTGTAAACGATGACTGTGTTGTAGTTGTGTTTAACTTTTGCCTGCCTGTGTTTAGCGTTTTGCAAAAAGAGTGCATGAGATTTGCAAATGGTGTCTAACTGCCTGAACTTGAAGAAAGAGGGATTTATTTGACAAATTGGTTTAGGCTATTGAATTGGTTTAGTGTTTTAGCAATTCAGAAAAACTGTAACATTACTGGAAGAAAATTGTTCATAACGTTGAGAGAAACTTGCTGTCACATAGGTTCTGTTTTGCCTGTTTACCGTGTAATTTGACCCAGTTTCCTAGCGTGTTTGATTAATGATTCTGTTCACCTGTCGTTCGTTAATTACCTCATTTAATCTGTGGCTGAACCCGAAATTGCCCTCTAAACCCTCAATCACTTTTCCCTACGTTAGTCCAATAATACAGTTCACTAGAAGGAGTGAATGAAAACGAGTGAGCGAATTCTGACAGCCGTTGAGCGTACATCGGATGTACACTCGTAATTGCGGTGCATTGTGGGATAGAATGAATGCACTTAATTACGTCCACTATGGTTTCGGACACCACTACAAATGGCTGTCCCCTCAAATAATGGCCTATTTAAGGTAATGGGGGCGATTTCGGATTCAGCCTGTTTCGTTCAGTTCTTTGTCCAGTCTTGTCTTTGTGAAGTGTGAAGTGGGTGTGTTACCCCGTGTTTCTGCCCTGTGTGGATTATTGAATTAAAAGATATTTCATTGCATTCCTCGTCTTCGTGCGCTCTATGTACTGCTACTGTGACAAAAGACTGTAGTTAATTTTGCAGCGTTTTCTTTCTCCCCTTTTTTTTCTTTTTTCCCCTCATGGATTTACATGCCGTTCAAGTACTCTGCATTGAGCTGAGGGACCGTCCACTGGAGGACCTGGCGTGCCAGACTTGCTATCCAGACCGCTCGCTCTGTGCTTTCTTTTACACCAGCCTTAGCGAGCGGTCCAAGGGACGATTTCGCCAAGTTTGTGGAGTGGGTGCTGGCGTGTAACGGATCGGCTTTTACCATCTGCCTGGCCGAGGAAGTCATTACCAGCCCCTCTCCGCACCGAGAGACCAGCCAGCCATCAATCGCGATCGTGACAGAGATTACGCAGAAGCCTACCACAGACAGAGTGCATGAGTCTGCCGCGAGTGAGAAGTCAGAGCCAGGGTCTCACAGAGAGTCTGACCAGGTGTGTTGGAGTGGAGCCCCGCACACACCACCACAGTCTAGGGAATGTTGGGTCCAGTCTCTGTGGACATTCATGGCATGAATGAGTTTAAATAGGATGCTGCCCTGTGTTTCCCTTTCCCTCTGGTCCCACCCAGCCCCAATTCTCCTATATCTTTGTTGGTTCCGTCCAGCTCCGAGTTTCCAGAGTCCCCACCCAGCCTCCCTCTCCCACCTCCTCTACCAAAGCCAGCTAGTGTGTCTGCTCCACCTTCGCATATCCCCTCCTCCTTCCCTACTTATCCATCCACCCTACTGTGCTGCATGAATGCGGATTTGAGCTTCCAGTCACCAGTTCCGTCCTGACAAGGGGATCCCCTTGCTCTGTATCAGTCCTCCAAGCCCTTGACTATACCTCAACCCTACGGCCCTTCAGCATCTCCTTGGCTACACGTTCCCTAAGCTCCACTGGGGTTAGTCAGTCCTCGGACTACAACAGGCTCCTTTGTCCCTCCATCCCTCTGGCTATGCCAGGCTCCTCCTTCCCTCCAGCGTTGCCTTGGTCCTCGCTCCTTCCGGCTCCCCCCGGCCGGCCTGCCGAACACCCGTCTCCACCTCAGTCCCGTGAGCCTGCATTTCCACCTCGGCTCTCACCTCGGGTCTCCGCCTCCTCCATTCCTCCTTGGACTCCTCCGTCTCCATCAGGCGTCACATGGTATCATCACGTGATTCTCCACCATGGCTCCTCCCTCCTTCCACTACATCATGGAGTGTTTTTCCTGCCCTGACTGTGTCCGTCCCTCTCCTGTTCATCCCTCCTCAGTTGGACTGTTACGGCGTGAGGACGCCTCTTTCTGGGAGGGGGCGTACTGTCACATATGTGTTCTGTTTTTACTTAGTTTCTTTGTGTTTTAGTTCTTTTCCTGTTTGCCTGTGTGCCCTGTAATTTGACCCAGTTTTCTAGGCTGTGTTCGAAATCATCCCCTTTATCCTCATTTACTATTTACTATTAGTCTACTAATACTCTAATGACAGTTAGTTGACATGTAGCTGCAAAGTTACTTATAGTTAGTAGAATGTCTAAAGTGAACTATTGAAATAAAGTGTTACCGACTATTTTCTTGCATTCTTCGTCTTCATGCGCTCTATATACAGCCACCCGTGACACTTAATTCATTACATTTATATAGCGCTTTTCTAGGCACTCAAAGCGCTTCACATGGAAGGGGGAATCTCCTCAACCACCACCAATGTGCAGCATCCACTTGGATGATGCGACGGCAGCCATAGTGCGCCAGAACGCTCACCACACACCAGCTTACTGGTGGAGACTTGCCAGAACAATAGCCAAAGTTGTGAGAACATTGCCTTTTAGCTGGGTTTAAGTTAGATCTTAAATATACATCTAACAGTATTGTTATCTCTATTAAGACTAGAGAAAAAATCACTCATAAGAATTCATGCTAACACTTAGGAGTCCAAGTTCTCATGCATTTTGCATGCACTACTAAATTGCATTGTCACATGCAATGCACAAACCACTTAGGTATAAATATTAATGTCCATTAAAGAGAATCATTCTGCCCTATTTACATAAGTGCTCAAATCATGTGCGACAGTATGTAGGTGAAAAAACACCTAATGGACCTGTAAGAAGCGGATCTTGTTATCTTTTACAACATATGATTTCTTTTTGTTGACGAGGAACCATTAGGCTATTGCCTGCTCAGTTTACTCAGTCTGAGCGCCTTAACACTAAACCCAGATGACAGACATGTGTGCTGGAGGTGAAGAAATTATGACATCTGATGAGAGAGCAATAGAAGACTAAACACAGACTGCTAGAGAGACTGAAAGGCTCTACAGAGTGAACATTCACCAAATTATCAGCTGCTCACAAATCAATCAGTCGTCAGTCAGAAATATGAAATATCAGGAATTATGACGATGACACATTTGCTGGCCTAAAGATTCGGGGCAATGAGAAGGTCAAGTTGTTTTTGTGCCAGAGAATAGAATAAAATAACATACATTTTGTATTTTCATTGTATTAAAATAAGAGACTCTGAGAATGCATGTTCTCAAAGCCACCTGTCCAGTCTGCACATCAATTTTACTGTCAACACGACCACAGGACCTACTGTATCACTTTAGATTCATCATAATCAGGAAGGAAAGAAACAATTTCCAAGCACTGCAGCCTCAAGAACATCAGGCCATTTTAGTTTGCATTGTTTTTATTAAATTACTTTTCTTAAAAAATCTCTTAAGTGTTCACGGCAAATTTGAACAGTTTAACAGTTTTAATCAGATTAAAATGTCCTTGATTGATCAAAAAAACTATCTATATCAGGCGAATTTGGGTTGCCGATATTAGTTCTGTGACTGTGATTTTTGACAAACACTGCCACCTTGTGCCATTTGCATTGTCCTACAGCTAAAACTTTAACCCCCGGTTTCACCTTAAAGGTTTAAACCTAGTCCCAGATTAAAATGCATGTTTGAGCTGTTTGAATTGAAAGCAACCTGTACTGATATATCTTAAAATTCGTCAGTGCCATTGTTTTGTCTCAAGATGCACATCAGTAATGTTTTTTTTTCTAGTCATGTTTATAAAAGCTACTTAAAGGAACAATCACCCACAAATCATTTACTCACCCTCATTCTGTTCCAAACCTGAATGAGTTTCTTTCTTCTGTTGAACACAAAAGAAGATATTTTAAAGAATGTTGGTAATCAAACAGTTGATGGTAGCCATTGACTTCCATAGTATGTTTTTTTATGGAAGTCAATGGCTACCCTCAACTGTTTAATTACCAACATTCTTTAAAATATCTTCTTTTGTGTTCAGCAGAAGAAAGAAATACTATCCCTTTAACTAAGGCTAATTGAACTAAAGCCTAATCCTGGCTCAATCTAAACCCTGTTTGTGAACAGGCCTAGAATACTTACATAATCCTGGATTTCCACATTTAATCATTTTTATTAATAATCACTTACCCCGCCAAAAACTGCTGAAACTTTTAACTATTATATATGTCCTCATAAATCAGCTTAAACTATATTATTATTATATCACAATCTAATTATTTATATTCCAACACAGATTCGTACAGTGTCCATGTGCTTTGCATTACAATACATGCATTCAACTAATACAGATATGTGAAAAGCAACCAAATTACCTCATTCCATCATTCCTGTAATCAGATAATATTTTTTTAATCAATACACAGTAATGTATAAATAAATTAGGGGTGTCAAATCGATTAATCACGATTAATCACATCTAACATAAAAGTTTTCGTTTATATAATATATGTGTGTAAATATTCAGATATTATTATTATAATATTTATATATGTGTGTGTGTGTGTGTGTGTGTGTGTGTGTGCATATATAGTATAGTATAGTAGTATATATATATGTATAATCGATTTGAAAGCACTAAAATAAATACAAAATATTACATTACAAATCGCAGAATTCAATAAAGGACAACATTAATATGAAAACATAAGTTCAGTGTAAATGTTATGAAAATCGTAAGGTATTTATCGCATTGGTAATTTATTTATCTATTTATTTGGTTCAAACTGTAAACTCTCTCTTCCATCACACACACCCTCTCGCCCCTGGAGTTCCGCCCCCTTTGGCAAGGCGGAAGTTGTCATTCTAACCGCTTCCTACTTCCTGCGTCAAAACATTCCGGTGTGTCTATGCGGCTCTAACGCTTTTTTTCGGATTTTATGAGTGATTATGGCTGCAAACTGCAGCACCGGTTCGGCTACGGAGCCTCCGGGATTAGAGACCCAGTGGCGGGAGATCGACAACCTGAACCAGCAGCAGCTCCGGGCCGGAGACAGCTGGTAAGAGAAACTTCAGCCAAGATAACAAACAAACAAACATTCAATAAACAACAACAACAACAACACAGATAAAGCACTAACATAACTGTATAAAACTGATAACATGTTTGGGTTTGTGTTGTTTGAGGGTTTTCAGGTTCAGTAGTAGCCTTGCCAATATGATTGAGAGAGTTAAAAATGATTTAAAGATCAAATAAGAGGGCGAAACTAATATACAGGTGGGGTTTCAGGCCTGATAGATCTGTTTACCTGGTTAACAGCTTCCTAAGGATAATTAAATATTGACATGTTGGTTGTCTGACCACATTCCCAACTCTGCCTGCTTTAAACTGTTTCGTTTCATTTTCATTCAGCAAATTTATTAACACACTTGCTTTAAGTTTCACTTCCATCTCTGGAAGGTATGTAAGTCTGTTATGGGAAAGTTACTTTCGGTTTGTGCTCGTTCCTTGGAAAGGAAAGGCAGATCAGCCATAAATTCATTCTCGTCCTGAAAGACAGATGGCAAGTGTTTGGTGTCTTAATCCGTGTCTTTCACTGGTGCCCTGTGCAGTTTACATTAAACAGATTTGTCTTAAAGCTCATTAAATGATGTTGGACTGATATAACTAAGCAGTGCAGAATGTGTGACAGGTGCAAGTGTCTTGTATTGCAGGTATTTGTTGGACAAGAGATGGTTTGATCAGTGGAAAGAGTATGTACACACCGGGGACCAAAATTCCTCCTCTTATCCCGGAAAGATTGATAACACTGAGCTCTTTGAAGGTAAGTTTTGCTATTCTGAGATGTTAAAATCGCCATGAAATATAAATGGACAATTCTTGTTTTTATATGAGGTATTAAAGTGTTTGTTTAAATGATTTATCTGTGCACATCATTATTTTAAAAAAAGTTAGGGCGGGGCAACCTGTCAATCACATGAGATCGACCAATATCATATAACAACCATTAAAATGAACCAATCAAGTCCCGTCCTACTTTTTTTTTTCTCATCCGAGAAGCTGTTTCATTTTTGTATTTTTGTCACAATATGGAAAACAAAAAAGTATATCGCAACTTCCGTTTCATGCTGACTTTTAGAGCAAGATACCATAGTTGCCCCATACAAATGTTTAATGTCTCATTCTCTGTAAATCTGTTCCCTTAAAGGCAGGGTAGGCATTTTTCAGAGAGGCTAGCAATAGTAAGCTAGCTTTGAAAGCATAAGATTCCTTTAGAGCGTCTCCAAAGCCACGCCTCTTTGCAAAACACATGAACACGTACAGCAGGGATTAAAAAGCATCACGAGAGATGGCGTTAAACTACCTCATGTCTCAAAGCACATAACATTACAATAATAATGAACGTAAACAAAGAGTGTTTCAAAGTTGCCATTTAAACGCATAAATTCGATTCACGAACCGCTCCGAGTATAACGTCACTGGTTTCCATCTATTCCAAATCACAGTAGTTATGGCGTGAACGAATGCAATGATTGGACGAACATTTTATGGTCCTGCGCCTTCCACAGACGATATGTACATATAAATACATTTAAACCACTAAACTTAGTGATTGCTTTCAGGATGTGAAGAGACTTTCAACCAGCACAACCCTTCCTTTAATAACTGTGGGTGAAGAATATGTTTGAAATAATTTGTATGCTTTTTGTAGATTTGGATTCCTACCACCTGAAAGAGAGGCTGTCGGAGAATGAGGACTTCATCCTGGTCCCATCAGAAGCCTGGCAAAAACTCTTGTCTTGGTATGACTTGATGGATGATCAGCCTCCTTTGGAACGAAAGGTAGTGTTAACCAGACTGTTAACTTTTCTTTGTATTGGAGTCCGTCCAATTAGGCAGGGTTTGCCATTAACTGAAGATGATGTGAAAGTCTTCATCTTTCTCTTTCCAGGTTGTTGATCTTCCCAGCACTCTTAAAGTAGAGGTCTACCCTGTGGAGGTCTACCTCTGTCTCTCTAGTAACTTGGAAAGTACCGTAGCTGGACAGTTCAGTCGAGCAGACAAGATACGTAAGTAACGGCTTTTAATGTATAGACTAGTTTTACGAAGTATTTGGACATTTAAAGATGTAGTCTCACTAGGCTTTTGGTATGTAAAATCACTGCAATGAACATCGGGATTAGGGCTATTGTTTTTAATAAGTAATGAATCAGAAATAACGAATAATAATACATTCAGGTTTAATAATAATTGTGAGTTCAGTCCACTTCATTCTTTGTATTGAGCTCAATTTGTGACGTTTAGATCTACTGGTGTGTATATGTTTTGTTAGACAAATTCAGAGAGTTCACCAAACTTAAAAAAGAAACTTCTTTGCATGTGCTTTTTTCCTCTCTCATGCATTCACATGCATATGGGTGGCACAGATCTAGTGTTCATCCATTGTTTTATCATTTAAAACATCATTTTTTGTAGTAAAATGTTCTGCTTGCAAAGCGGCTTGTACTATGATCTTTATTTAAGTTAACTCCTCATGGTTTGATATTTTTTTTATTGAATGACATTCATACACTACCGTCATGAGAATAGAATATTCAAAAGAACCACATTTACTTGAAATAGATTTTATTTGTAAAATTACAAATGTCTTTACTGTCATTTTTGCTCAATTTAATGCATCTTTGCTGAATAAAGTATTTATTTATACTTACAAACCTCAAACATTTGAACATTATTCTATGTTATTAAGTGTAATGTTATCTTATTTATATTATTGCATGCTCATGTTATATGTTATATTATTTCTGCTCATACTAACTCATAAACAATGAATTATGCCTGATAAACAGCTTCTAAATGTCTTCTTCAAAGCATCAAAGGTTTAGCTCAAGCTCTGGAATGCCACTTGTTTTACAGAATGCTATTCTCATAGATCTATTTTATATTTGGCATGTAATTACGTTTTGTAAACCGATGTGTGAAACCCCTCAGGACTTTGGCAGCCTGGTGTATCTGAGCTGCAGATCTGTGAATGTGTTTTCTCCTCAGGTATGTGTGTAAATCACTATCATGTGTATCTGTGCTTCATAGACTCTATACATCAAAAGATACGGCAGCATTTTACTGTGTCAGAGACTGCTGAGAGCCGACTGTGGATGAGGAGTACGGATACAAGCTCAGAAAGGCTACGCAACCTTAACATGACTGTCCTAGACGCCTGCCTCAGTTCCGGCATGGTAAAATACACACCTATCATGTATACTCCTTAACTCTGATCATCCATCATATTACTGTAAATGTCACCAAACGGTTATGCAATAAGCACTGCTGGTAACTTCGCCCGGTTGGTTTGTCATATAGACAAACTTTTCTACTAGTACTTAAAAAAGAAGAATGCTTTGTCATGGGCCACCCTGCTTGTGTTTGTGGGTGTGTTGTGTCTTAACATGCTCTACCCACTCCACAGACGGTGATTATGGAGATCAGGAATGTGGATGGTACGTGGCCCACATCCAGGCCTCAGATCATGTGAGTATGAAGGCACCAGCTTCCTTCTCTCGTGCACTAGCCCAAGTTCCCTTTCTGTTTTTGTTTAGGTAAATGGAAAGTCACGTGTTTAAAGCACAAAACACACAGTCATCCAAACAGGTTTCATCAGCCGCATTTATTTAAATCTGTAACTAGTTGTAGTAGGTAGACACTTCAAAAATGGCATGGGAAATGGGATCAGTATAGCACAAATAAACTTTACAAGATCAATCTCGTAGTTTGGGAAAAACATGTCCTTTCTGAAAATGGCTGGGATCATATTATCTCCAGAGTGGCAAAGATTCTATTATATGCCCCTTATGCCAGAGTCCAATATCTCTGAAGCCTATTTTGATTGACTGTAATGGTTTAAATCCTCTAGGGCTCTACTTCTTGATTCATTCTTATTAAAATATTTTTAATAAAGTGTGGGCAGATTAAGTGTTCAAATAAATTCAAATAAATTAAAACCTTTTATAAAATGTCTCTTTATTTGTTGGTTATATAAAGGTTAGATATATATATATTTTTACTTTACTTTGTTTCTAACCATGAATATAGCCATAGTTGTTGGCATGGTGCTAAATTATAAACAGACAAACAACTGTAATAGGTTGCAAAGGAGATTTTGCCCAATACAGATCAGTTAAAAAATATATGGGACATATTTTAAAGAGGTCATATCATGAGGAATCAAATTTTATATGATTTTTTTGGGGAATTAAGGAGCTTAATGTGCTATTCATCCCCAGTTAAAAAAAATATTTATTTAAAAAATATTTAACCTAAGCTGCAAAAATCACTTGATCTGCACTGCCTCAACCTTATATTGTAATGCTGTATTTGGTTTCATTTTATTTCGATAGTCCACTTTAGACATTCTGCTTACTATACTTTGCAACTACATGTCAACTAACTTTAATGAGATTTAGTTGGTATGCAGTTGCAAATTAATAAGAGTATTGGTAGACTGTTAGGGTTAGTAAAAGAAGTTGACATGTCCCTGCAAAGTTACTTATAGTTAGTTGAATATTTCAAGTGAACTATTGAAATAAAGTGTTATCCTCTATTTCAGTGTAGAAATACACTATATTATAGTCACATATTGTGTGTTGAGCCAGTCATATAATATATATATATAGTAAAGATATAATGCATAGTATAAATTTAGATCAGCTAAAAGTATAGCAGATGGCATTTACATTGAATTCCTAAAGGTAATCAAACCTAGCCTATTCTAGTCATCAAAGAGAGAGGGGAAAATATTCATATAAAGATAAATTATGATTGTTTTCTCTGCAGAAAGCTTAAAAAAAACTCAAAAAGAATTAAAAACCTAGCTAGCATTTTCGTAGAGACCTTTCAAATCAAAAGTTGGTATGTGGCTTTCATAACCAGAAATGCTCTTTAGATGGGCAGTTCACTGGGGTTTGAAACATAACTGTGATTTTATTGAATATTTGGAATTAATATGGAATTTTGTGTCTCCAGGCGGAACTCTGCTGACGAGGACTCGTATCGAGGGTCTCCTGGAGTGTGTGGCCTCACGAACCTGGGCAACACCTGCTTCATGAACTCAGCTTTACAGGTCAGAGGTCATGAACTGTTGAACACGCAGTCATATATCAAATATCTATAAGGCTCTTCTTAAAATGAAGTGTGCATTTTTCCCCATAGTGTCTGAGTAACACGCCGCCACTGACGGAGTACTTCCTGATGAACTTGTATCTGGAGGAGCTGAACTTCACTAACCCTCTGGGCATGAAGGGTGAAATTGCAGAAGCCTACGCAGATGTCATCAAACAGATGTGGTCAGGGAGGCACTATTCTGTGGTTCCTCGGGTATTTAAGGTAATGTAATTGTAGTGATCACTCTGCATTAGCATTTTTAGTGCAAAACTTGTTTGCGAAGACCAGCAGAGCTGAAATCATTTTGTCCATTTCGAATCTGGTTTGCAACAATTCCCAGTCCGTTTTCCCCCTTCTTTCATATTAATTAAGGAAAATCAAAAAATCTTATTATGCAAAAAACGACTATAAACAATAACATTACAATAAGACGTTACAATAACGTGATCACCATTCAAAATAATTGTTTTCTATTTGAATGTATTAAGTGTCATTTATTCCTGTGATGCAAAGCTGAATTTTCAGCATCATTACTCCAGCCTTCAGTGTCACATGATCCTTCAGAAATCATTATGCCGATTTGCTGCTCAAGAAACATTTATTATTATTAATGTTGAAAACTTCTGCTGAATTTTTGTGCAAACTGTGATACAATTTTATTCAGGATTCGAGAAAAATAACGTTCAAAAGAACAGGATTTATTTGAAACAAAAATCTTTTGTAACATTTTAAATGTCTTTACTGTCACTTTTGATCAGTTGAAGTCATTTATTATAGGCTGTAAACATGGTAATTATGTTTGTTTGAGTTTTTTTTTTAGTAAATTTTTCCATTAGTTGTGCAGAAATGAACCAGCATTGCTTTTGTGTGTCTGCAGACCAAGGTCGGCCACTTTGCGTCACAGTTTCTGGGCTACCAGCAACACGACTCTCAGGAGCTGCTGTCTTTCCTGTTGGACGGTCTTCATGAAGACCTCAACCGGGTCAAAAAGAAGGAGTATATTGAACTCAAGGATGCTGATGGAAGACCTGACCAGGTGCTTTTTACACATGAACACAAGTACACAAAGAATAACTCGCATAGTGTGTACCTCATACCATTTATAACATATAACAATATATATAAGCAGCATTTACTACTGATCAGCCGTGCTGCACTGACAAACTGCGCATAAAATAATCGCAACCTTTGCCAAATCGCGTGCGGTTTTATTCCGATTAAACATCATATTTAAAATCATTATTAGGGCTAATAATGATTTTAAAAAACATTGTTATTGGCCAGTTTTCCAGCTTAGTTTAGCAATATCTGTAAAACCACTATTGGTTGACCTCTTAACGTGTTTAGAACTCTACAAACAAAAAAAAAGTGTTACTATGGGAATCACATTTTTTATTTTTGTGTTACAGGAAGTGGCTGAGGAAGCGTGGCGCAACCATCTGAGGCGGAACGATTCGGTCATTGTCGACACTTTCCACGGGTTGTTTAAGTCGACATTGGTGTGCCCTGAGTGCAACAAGGTCTCTGTGACCTTTGACCCCTTCTGCTACTTAAGTGTGCCCTTACCAGTCAGCAAGGAGAGGGTCATGGAGGTGTTCTATGTTTCACTGGATCCCATGGCCAAACCAACACAGGTGTGTATTATGTTATATACACACACAAAAAAACGCAAAATACTATAATGCTCAATCATTTCTGGCAGGAAATGCAGCATCTGTGCAGCACGACAGACATGCTCATTATGAGTGAGCCCATACTATGAGTTTGGCAGATGTGAATGATGTAGCGCTGCACATCTGTAAACAGGAAGACAGCTGGTGGTGTCATCAGAACCAGTTTTGCTAAGGGCAAAATAGTCTGAGAGTTCTGTTGAACAGCGCTTAGTAAGGATGCTTTACATTGAGTTTTGTTCATCCTGATGACTGATGAATGTGTGTGACTTCCCTCTGCAGTATCGTCTGATTGTCCCTAAAGCTGGCCGAGTGATTGACTTGTGCACGGCCCTCTCTCAGGCAACAGACGTCCCACCCAGCCAGGTTCAAACAAGTTTTTTAAACTATTGAAACATTGTCGAATTGTTCTGAAAATTCTATTATTAGATTTGGTTAATCATATGACCCTGTCATTTGTTCTGAGCTAATAATTGATCTTCTCCGCACAGATGGCTGTGGCTGACGTGTTCAATCATCGCTTCTATAGGATTTACCAAGCTGAGGAGTCCTTAAGCTGTATACTGGACCGGGACGATATATTTGTGTAAGAGAGGACTGAGTAAACAGCCTTAATAATACAAACACACCAACACACACAGATGTAATTAATTAACTTGTAGCAATATTGTTTAAGATTTAATTTACAGGTAATATTGGTATATACTGTAACTGTATATAAACTGGTTATTGGGGAAAAGGTAGGTGTGTGTGTGTCTGACTGTTTTTTCTGGTGTGTTGCTGCAGGTATCAGCTGAACAGTGGCTGTATGGCTGAGGCTGATGAGGAGGTGATTCTAGCCATCTACATGCGTGAACGCTCTCATTACAGAGATTACGGCTCAGGCAGCAACAGCTACAGCACTTCCCTGTTCGGTCACCCGCTGCTGATGTCTGTACCGCGCGCCCAGTGCACGCGGGAAGATCTCTACCAGCTCCTCCTGAAAAGACTGGCGTAAGTCTAACCGGTCATACAGGGTTTGTCACAAGCTAGTTTAGACTTTCGAGATCATTTAGTTTTCAACTTATATGATGGGGGGTTTTTTTTGGTGCAAAACTGCATCTTTCTTATTATTGACCATAAATATATTTGGGGGTTTTTACTGTCTGTATATGCATCCTATTATCTAAGTTCCTTTGCATCTGATAATCTGATAAATAATCTACTGTTAATCTGCTTCCTGTTACTTCTGTGATCATATGGTGTTATTCGGTATCACTGTTTTTGAGTTAAAGTAAAGTGATCTTTTTTTCTTTCTTTTTTTTGCCTGAGTTGGGTTGCCATTCATATGTGTCATGATTATGTCCCTACACAGGCGTTATGTCCATCCCCTAGATCCCTCAGAATTAGAGGAGGAAGAAGATGAGGATGAAGACTTGTACAAGGCACAGACCAACGGAGTTAGTGATGGTATGACTGCATTTTCTTAAAGTTTAAAAATTCTGGGGACAGTAAGTTTTATTTATTTTATTGTTAAAGATAGCAACAATATTAAGAATTAATTTATTCAGCAAGGAAGCATTAAATTGATCAAAATTGACAGTCAAGACATTTATAATGTTACAAATGATTTCTATTTCAAATAAATGCTGTTCTTTAAATTTATATTCCTCAAAATCCACAAAAATATTAAGCAGCACAACTGTTTTCAACATTGATAATAATAATAAGACATGTTTCTTGAGCAGCAAATCAGCATATTAGAATGATTTCTGAAGGTTATGATGCTGAAAAGTCAGCTTTACCATCACAGGAATAAATTAAATTTAATAATATATTCAAATAGAAAATGATTATTTTAAATTGTAATAATATTTCATAATATTAATGTTTTTTCTGTACATCTGATTAAAAAAAAACAGTCATGGTGAGCATAAGAGACTTTGGTAACTTTTCTTAAAGCCTTTATGTATAATGCATAATAAAGATTATATACCGGTATCATTATATCTTTTCATAAATAAATGTAACCAACGTTAAAATGCATTATAATATTTGCAGGCAGATTCCTTGTTACTTCTAATAATTGGTTGTTTGTCGTGTTTTAATGCATTATACTTTCTAAAGGTGTAACAACGAATAGATAAGTATTGATAATGTATTATAACTGTGGTTACAATTATTCATGATATGCATTATAAAGTGCACAACAAGGCATAATTAATGCATTAAAATGACTTTTATAATGAATTATATATATAAAGGCTTTAAGTAAAATGTTACTGAAACATCTTTCAAATCATAAATAAATTGTACTTTCCCCAAACTTGTCAACACTATGGTACTTATAATGATTAATTTCTGAACAGATGAGGGCGAGGAAGACTCAGAGGAGGCGGGCCCAGCCAAGAAAGAGGAACAGACTCAAGAGAGCAATCAGACGGATGGGCAGAACAATGGCCCGTTAGAAGCCAGCCCGAGCAGCGAGGGGGAGGACCGAGCTGAGGAGGAAGAGTCGAGCAGTGAACCGGACCGGGGAAGCAGTACAGAAGAGGGCCAATCAGCGTCCGGCAGCACTGACACCAACTCCCAAGATGCCACTGATGGGGACCAAAGTGCTAGCGCAAAACCTTCGGGAAAGGAGGAAGAGGATGAAGAAGAGGAGGAGGAGGAAGACGGGGAAGGGGCAGCAACTTGTGCGCAGGCAAATAAGAGGGTTCCGGACAGACGGCACTACACTGAGAGACGGAAAAAAGCCCTCTTCACCATTCAGGCGGTGAACTCTAATGGCACCACGGAGCGAGGGATGGCAGAGGCGGGCAGCAGCTTCTCTTTCAGCTGTGAGTACACTAATAAGAAACTCAATTTATTGCAGACCTCTCTTCTTCTGATGCCTTTGTACGACTTCAGGGTCATGTGCGCACAAGCGAGGGTCATAACAAAGTGAGATTGCATGTCTTTTATTTATCTGGCTGCTCAATTTACACCTTTTCAAAGTTGAGGAGCGGCTGTCATGGTGTCTTTTAAATCAGAGAATACATAAGCGTAAATGTTCCTGCTCCAAATGGCCTGACTCACTGTTTCTGTTTAGCTCAGCCATACATTGCCATCGACTGGGACCCTGATATAAAGAAGAAGTATTACAATGAGAATGAAGCCGAGGTAAGATTGCTAATGAGCTCTTTGATCCTTAAGAAATGCTTTGCGTCTGTTGTTGCACTAGGAAATGAATGTAACCTCTCATACAAGGCTCAATACAGTCAATTCTATTAGAGGTTTAGTGTCATGCTCATTTTAAAGTATAGCTCCTAATGCAGTGATGTGTGATCGGTATTGTGTCACTGCTATAAATAAGAAAACCTCAAAATGCTATATGCATTACCTAGTTTTTCTGTCTTTGTCAAGAAAAGTGGTTTTCAACTGGTTTTGCAGCAACCCAAAATGGCATCAAGGTTTATTATTTACAGTAATAACGTAATAAAATACAAATTTGTCTCCCCTAGGTAATAGCCTTGTTATTTTGCAATCCTAAAAATGTATTAAACATTTTCTTATTTGCATTTATCATGGTTTTTCAATCAAACCTTTATTCACCAGTCAAGAACCACTGGTATGCTTTTTGATATGCTTAATTTGCTTAAATGCAGTATGAAATTGATTCTTTGATTAAATATAAATCAAAATCCATTGTTTTTAATGATCTTTTGTTTCCGTCTTGGTGGTTGAAGTTATGCAAACTGCATCCTTTCTATTGCAAACACGTGTTGTTTATGTGTTAATGCAGAAATACATAAAGCATCAGAGCATGGACGTCCCTCACCTGCAAACGACAGTGCAGCTACAGGAATGTATAGAGCTCTTTACCACGGTAGAGACACTGGAAGAGGAAAACCCCTGGTAATCTACTTCTCAGACCTATCACAGATTCTAGGCTTTAATTCCAGTCTATCCTTTATTACATTTACATGTATGAATTTGTCAGATGCTTTTATCCAAAGCGACTTACAATGCATTTCAAGGTACACATTTTACATTCTTATCAGTTTTTGCTTTCCCTGGGAACCGGGTTTCCTGTAATAATGTAGGGAACCATGTTATACATAAATCATGTAACAGTTCATGTTTTTACTTAAGCTACATATACTATTTAGTTTTAATCCAGCTGTAGCGTACGTACTAAGCAATCAAGCACATGCAACACACTTTACTTTCTTTGCTATTGACATATCTGACTGAACTACAAACTTTATGTAGGAAGGGGAACATCTTGTGGTGTTTGTTGCATAATTTAGAGCCAGAACCATTCGTTTTATTATTTCTAGTGATGTATTTAAAGAATCCTCCGCACATGTAAGTTTGTGTTTGTTTATGTGGTCTGTAGGTATTGTCCTACATGTAAAAGGCATCAGCTTGCTACTAAGAAATTGGATCTGTGGTCTTTGCCAGAGGTTCTGATCATCCATTTAAAGCGTTTCTCCTACACAAAATACTCTAGAGAGAAACTGGATACTATTGTGGAGTTCCCCTTGCGGTAAGATGAAGTACTGTTTTGTCAGATTAAGATGTACATACACTACCATTCAAAAATTTGGGGCCATTACTCCAGTCTTCAGTCACTTGAGCCTTCAGAAATTGTATCACAAACCTGTGATACAATTTTTTCAGGATTCTTTGATTAGAAAGTTCAAAATAACAGCATTTATTTTAAATGTATATCATTTTTGAGACATTATTAATGTATTACTGTTACTTTTGATCAGTTTAATGCATTCTTGCTGAATAAAAGTATGAATTTCTTTCAAAAAAGGAAAATAAAATCTTACTGACCCCCAAATTTTGACCGGAAGTGTACATTTGTATAGTTCTGGTTGTTTTAATGGTGCCGATAACGCATAGTTATAGTGGAAATAAATGCATAGTGAGTAATAAATGTACCTTCACATCCTGTTAATATTTGTTATTTTCAATGGTTGATTCTTAGACTATTGCACTTGTTTCCATTTGGTTCATGTGTCTCATTCTCTGTCTGCAGGGATTTGGACTTCTCAGGTTTCCTCCTAAAGAAGACCATGAACAGTACTGAACCTCCCTGTAGATATGACCTGATCTCTGTGTCGAACCACTACGGCGGACTCCGAGATGGACACTGTAAGCATCAGTCTTCTAAGCTTTTATTAACAGCAAATAAAAATGTCATGCCAAAAATGGCATGCAATTATTAGGGATGCACCGATACCAAAAACCAAGACCATGCAGCATGTGTACAGTACAGTGTTTGTGTCCAGACAAAGAAACACAGACAACAGAACAACAGTGCACTGTGGATGAAACACGATAGAGCAATAGAATGAACAGTGAACAGAACAAACAATAACAGAAGCTCGTACTATACATTTTAACAGGCATAATTAAGCAGTTAAGAAAATAACGGAAGGAAACATCTATTTGAAGGGATAGTTCACCCAAAAATTTTAATTCTTACCCTCATGTTGTTAGTTCCTTAGTTCAAAACCGTAGTTCATCTTCAGAACACAAATTAAGGTATTTTTGATGAAATCCGAGAGATTTCTGAACCAACGATAGACGGCAACGTCATCGCAACTTTCAAGGCCCAGAAATGTAGTAAAGAGATTGTTAATAAGTCCATGTGACTACAGTGGTTCACATGTAATGTTATGAAGCGACGACAAATACTTTTTGTGTGCAAAAAAACTAAAACAATGACTTTATTCAACAATCTCTTCTCTTCCATGTCATTCTCCTATGCTATTCACGTAATGTAAACAGTGCAGCGCTTCCAGGCTCATTATTGGCCAGCTCCTGCGTCATCATCACACGCATGTGTCGTGGTGCTCACGTGAACAGCGTCGGTCAATAATGAGCTGCCGTTCTGACGTAGAACCCGGAAGCGCTGCACTGTTTACACAACGTGAATGGTGTAGGAGAACGACATGGAAGAGAAGAAATTGTTGAATAAAGTCGTTATTTTTGTTTGTTTATCGGCGGTTACCAAAAATGAAAGTCACTCTAAAAAAAGTGGTATAGGTGCATTCCTAGCTTTTTTGTTTAGTGATAATAACATTACAAAAATATTTCCCTTTTTATCCCTTCTAGATACTAGTTATGCCCAGAACAAGGACAACGGCCAGTGGTATTACTTTGACGACAGCAAGGTGACCTTTGCAAGAGAGGAACAGATTGTGGTGAGATTAATGCTTCTCTGTGGGTTGAGTGGTCAACATGAAATCAAAACAGACCCTTTTTACTTTTTAATACATTTTCTCGGCCTTGCTGGGCATAATTCATCAGTGCATTCTCTTCTAGACAAAATTAAATGTTTGTTTTTCCTCAAAACACAATAACTTTCTCTGCCTCTTGGCCGAAAAGACAGATCTGTTAAAAAAAAAAAGATTTTGAAATGGTCATATCAGTGGATTTATATTCTACATCATAAACTCAGGGTGGCCTCCAGATTGAGATCACATGTCGTCCAGCCACATCTTGGGAGTTGATTAATATAATTAAAAATACAATTTGTAAGTTTACTATATGCTTTCACAGCGTTAAGGTGATTTACGAAAGTAAATCTAAACAAAACAAACAAACCAAATTGTATAAGCAGAAAAAGACTTGCAGTACCATCATATTAAAAAAAGGTTATTAAGGCTGGCACGAAACTTGTGATAGACTTTTCTTTCTTAATGTGTGAATAATCCAAGTGAAACGGCATTTTAAACAAGCAAAAATGTAGGGCGGGACTTGATTTTTGGAATTAATTGGATGATTGCTATTGCTGTGATGTCATGTGAGTGACACGTTGTCCCGCCCTCACGCCAGTAAACACATCATCAGTGAAGAGATGTATCTGCAAAGGAAGGGGAAGTTATTTTGATAAATTATGAGGAATAAAAAAAAATGATGTGCACAGATTTATAATAAATACATTTACATATACATTTATAATAAATACTGCAGTATTCCCTAAAATAAAGAATTGTCCATTTTGATTTCATGGTGACTTTAATGCTGTTATTCAGCAAAGATGCATTCAATTGATTAAAAGAATGACAGTAAAGACATTTATAATGTCACAAAAGATTTCTGTTTCAAATAAATGCTGTTCTTTTGATCTTTCTATTCATCAAAGAACCCTAAAAAAAGGGTCACGAGTTCCACAAAAATGTTAAGCAGCACAACTATTTTTCAACACTGACAATTAATGTTTCTTGAGCAGCAAATCAGCATATCAGAATGATTTTTGAAGGATAAAGTGACACTGAACAGAGTAATGATGCTGAAAAATATGTTTTAGTTACATTTTTAATAACATTAAAATTGAAAACAGTCATTTGAAATTGTCATAATATTTCACTGTATTGCTGTTTTCGACCAAATAAATGCAGCCTTGAAAAGCAGTCACTGAAATGTTCGATCTCCATCTGCTCTTGTAGACCAGTGCCGCCTACCTCCTGTTCTACCAGCGCCAAGACAAGATCCGCCAGCCCACCGTCCCTCCACCCGTCCCAGAGAACCACATCACGTCCCAGACACATGATCCCGTGGACGGAGCCTCTTCCTGTGTCAGCATGGAGACGGACTGATTTCTGTCTTTTTCCTTCTCCACTTCATTCTTTCTCACTCTTATCACTTCCAACTTTAATCTTTAATCTACAGAAACTTGAACCTCGGCCTCTGCTCTGACTCCGACAGGAAGCGCGAGGCAGGGGCTACTCTCTCAGGCTGGTGCACAAGCATCATAAGGGGTGGGAATGCAGATTTGTGTGTTTTTCTTAATGACGAACTCAAGGAAACGGGTTAAGCTGGTGGTGGCGGATGCATAGATCGCATACCTATTTGTCTGCATCGCTTCAGCAACGATTCGAATCCGGAGAATGAGGTTTGCGCTGTTCATCGTCACCAACTGTGTTCTTTATTTTTTCCTAAGCTTGCTTTTCTGAGCTAGCTAAGCTGCTGTCCACAATGGTGATGTCTGAACGCCCAACCTTGGGTAAAGCTGCACCGTTCAGCATCATGAATCAGGCCTCCTGTTTATTCCATCAGACTTTCAGCGAGGGCGCTATTAGCAGGGATGGTTGAGGTGGTTTATCATATCAGGGACATCGTGATCAGAAATCCAGTTTCACTATGATTTCTGAGATCTTCTAGTAAAGTCTGTCCACTCACTCGTGATCTATTTATTTTCGTAATTCCAAGATGCTGATGTGGAGTGAGAAATAGAGATGGTTATAATTCAAAAAATCTTCCATTTTTATTTTCATTCACGTGATGCTTTTTCTCCGGCGGTCGTAAGGTCAGGGAAAAGCCCCTCTGTTGCGGGACACAAACGGAGGCCTGTTTTCCAGCGAGAATTTGCTTCTTTTTTTTATCTTAAATGAAAGGAAAATACGCAGCAAGATTTAAACATTACATTCTTTTTTGACTAATTGTGTTGAATTTATAAACTCTTTGGAGCGATGAGAATATTTCAGCAAAGTGCTTTCTGGATAGAGCTCTTTACATGATGATTTTTAAGGCACCTATGTACAGTATTTTTGTATTGTAATAAATGTTGTATTATCTTTGATCATTTGGATCAGATGCTGGGGATGGGGCGCTTTCATTTTATTTTGTTAATAATTATAGATTGAATATATAATTGTATACACATCTTTTGATATGAATAAATGACTATAAAGTCGAGGTTAGATTGGACACATTTGGCTTCCATTTACGTTGTTTTACCTCTGAATGAAAGGACGCGTAGATCCTTTGGCAATGGGAAATGCATTCAATTGTTTTGTTCTGACTGCATATTAACACTTCTCAGCGTTGTAATTAATTTGGCCCATCGCGTAACGATCTTATAGAAAATGCTTTTTCATTTGCACTTCCTATTAAGTGACTGCTTTATTGCATATCACTTTATGTGACAGGAGCACTTAATACCTTCAGGATGTTCTAATATAAATCACACGGGAATCTCACAAAACCTGTACAGAACTAAAGTAATCAAAATCAAAGGCAAAAATATGAAATTATATTTTTATATAATCAATTTTTTCATTTATACATTATGGTAGTATTTGTTTACTCCTTTTAATTTATGCATATTTAATAAAAAAAAATGTATTGCAGTAAATTGAAGATGACCTGGACATGTTATTATTGACTTGGTTTGTGAGATTTAAAAACTTGGTGAGAATTTTTCTTGAAGTCTGCTTTACAAATGGACAGTTTTTTAAAATAATTCCTCAAAAGATTTAGCACATTTATTTCTCACCTATAGTCTTCCATTTTGTACAAAGTTTACTGAATTCAACAATCTATTTAAAGATAGTTTCAGTTTTACTATTTTATAGTAATTAAATGGCTTAATTCTAGTATTTAAATATAAAATAATTTGCTAGTTCTCAAAAAGTCACATACAGCCTAATTTTTTAATGCAAGTGTTTCAAATAAATCCAAATATTTATTAGAGCTACTGTTTGACCTGCAGTGGTTTCATGTTTTTGTGAAGTCAATGAGATGATCAGCTGTGTATGAACAATTGAATTGTTAGAGCGATTCAATTAGTTTGATTTCAGAATTAGTCTCGTCAATGCAACACAATATTTCACAATATTCTGAAGCCCGTTTAACAGTAGACTTCGCCATATAGTCACCAAATTTCATATTTATGATTTTGCATTGTGGAGGCATTTTCTGTATAGAAATTAAAAAAGTGATCAAATAAAAGCTTATTTGAATTTTGAGTATATGTAGTGTTTTCTACAATTACAATATGAGAATATGATCATTTCAAACAAGTTTGTGTCATGTAAGTGTTAAACATTTGATTCACCAATATTAGACAAACCATTTTCCAGCTCAATCATTTCCTCTCGTCTGATTCAATCAGAGACGAGCACAAATTGATTTCCTCCTCACCTTAGGGTTCCATATAATGTTTATTAAATTATTACATTCCTCTCTAGCACAGAGACCAAAATAGTTTTTACATTCAATTTGCTGGTATATTATCTCTGTGCCTGAAACAATGGCTTGTCAATAAGGAACTGTGATGATCACCAACCACGAAAGAGAAAAACAGGATAGCAACCATTTAATGAAAGATTAAAACCAAACTGACGTTTAAACAAAAAAAAATATTATTATTATTATTTTATTTTTTAAGGCACAATTTCACACATAAATAAACTTAAGGCATAAAACATGAGAAATTCTGTATTCATTCCTTTGGCTTAATTTAAATAATTTAGATCTTCACTGTGACTGTATCAAATGAAATGTTTATGTGCAGTTCACAAAAAACTTAATTTCAAACATATTGTAGATTGTTTGCAGGACATTCACATGGGTGTTAAGACATTCTGCAGTCAACAATTGAATAATGTTAAGAAATAACAGCTGGTTGCAAAATGCACAGCACTGTTTCATATCAAAAGGTGGTTTGCAATCAGGCAGGCGTCAGAACATGGTTGTTCTTACTGTAGATCTTAGCTAAAGAGTCCTCTGAAGTTCAGATCCTGACACATGAGTTCCTCTTCAACGTTCTCCAGGGCCCATTTGTGCTCCACGATCTCCAGGGCTTCCCACTCGCTCTGAAACAACCATAAAGGAGAAGACATTCAGAGCATTGCAGAGCTTTACACATCCTGCTAAACGTCACGTTTCCTTTTGTTTACATCGGCATGAGGGTGAGTAAATGAAGACCAAAAGATCTTATCGTGTACGAGATATATTGTGTAATGGAACTGCATCGACTTATTGCACCGAATACAATCTGCATTTCACAAGAAATAGGTTTCAGTAGTTCTGTAATTATGTGAGCTTCAAAACAGCAACGTTTCACATTTCACAATTATCTTAAGATCATAAGGTTATGAAATTAAAGCGAGCACGTTTCCACATTGAGGCTGCTGTTGCATATATCAATCCGTCCACTGGGAGCGTAGGCGTGATTTCCCAAGAAAATTGACTAACTAAATTTGTGCTAACCACAAATAACTCAAACTGCTGCTGGCATTTTTTTTTTTGTACGTTTTTGTTTGTGCATGTTTGTCATGGAAAAAGAATTAATATTGATAAAATAACAAAAACAAAGATGTACATCACATAAAAACAACAGGTTTACTTGATGCAAACCATGTTCTACTCACCTTAAATGCTTTATTAGGATCAGGGGGCATCGCCATCGCAGCCCCCGTCATTTGATCCTGCATGATTCTTGACTGATCTGCAGCTAAAAATGAACAACTTTTAGTTTAAATATCTAAGATCTAAAGCTCATCTCAAATGCCACAGCTAAGATTAAAATGTAAATAATTATATATATACACACACACACTTCCCGGCCAAAATAAGTCACTGTTTGGATTTAAATAGGCAAATGCTTGAGAGTCAATGACTGGATCATTATTGCCGTGATTATTATGTTTATATCATGTAATATGTTTGGCAACAGTTCTTCTAAACCAAACTGATGGAGTGTGTAGCTTTTACAGAGAGCTGGACTCTTGCATTATCATCAATACAAGATCTTGACCAAAAATGTATGCACCTCTTGATGGAAATAACATTTATTTGGTCAAGATCTCGTATTGACAATGCAAAGTCTGTAAAGTCTCCTCCAGCACATCCCAAAGACTTTCAATGAGTTTTAAGTTCTGGTGCCGATTCATGTGTGAAAATGATTCTTCATGCTTCTCACAACTATTCTTTCACAATTTGAGCTTGATCTTGACATTGTCATCCTTCCTGGAATATGGCCATGATGTGTCTTCCTACATGGATGTTTAAGAAATGAAAAGCATTTGGCTATTTAAATCCAAACAGTGACTTATTTTGTCCGGGAAGTGCATGTATATATATATTAACATTTAATATAATAGAATAAAGTTGATGTCGTAAAAAGGTCTAAATATCTTAAACAAAAACCACCAACCATTGTCTTGTCCAAGCATGAGGGTGTACATGCTTCTGAGCCCAAACACATTGAGAAAATACCATGAAGCTGAACTGACCCTAAGAGCGACAAATTCAGATTTTATGCATACAGTAGTTTTCAGCTTCTGTCAACAAAATAAAAAAAACCTCACACCAATACTGTACCATGAGGCGTCCAGAGAGAGCAGCTCGATTCCTCTCTGTAACATGGGCTTGAATCTCAGAGTCAGAGGAAACGGAACTTTTGCTGAAAGGAAATAAGCGGCACAAAATTAAAACAACATCGAGGCTGCATTTATTTGATCAAAGAATACCGTAAAAACAGCAATAATGTGAAATATTACCATTTTAAAAAACGTTTCTATTTGAATATATTGTAAAATGTATTCCTGTGATGCAAAGCTGAATTTTCAGCATCATTACTCCAGTCTTCAGTGTCACATGATCCTTCAGAAATCATTCTAATATGCTATTTTATTATTTAGTAAACAGAGATACATTTCTTTCAGGGTTCTTTGATGAATGGAAAGTTCAAAAGAACAGCTTTTATGTGAAATAGAAATCTTGTGTAACATTATAAATGACTTTACTGTCACTTTTGATCAATTTAATGATTACATTTAAAATCTATGACAAACTATGTTTAAATTCATCAGTCAACACCATCCCTGAGTATTTTCTCCTTAAAACTGCAGAGAACCAAAGACAGTCTCAAAAAATGCGGTTTGAAATCGCTGGTGATTCTGACGCCACAGACTACCTTGTAGCCAATCACGTCAGCGAGTGGATCTCCGAGCTGGTGGGCTATTTGCATATTCATAGAACCACTTATTCTAAATGGGGCAAGGGTGTAGAATTACATTCAAGCTATTTTAAGGCATGAAGAAATTGTTTTCAAGGAAAAAACTTTGAAAAGTGTAATTTTGGTGATCAAAGATGAGTTTTTAAGGGAAAAAATTATTGACAACAGGGGAATTTTAAGAGTTTCGTTTTGCTTGGTAACATTAGCAAACTGTAACCACTTTAAAGGACAACTCCGGCGCAAAATGAACCTTTGGTCTAATAAAACATTGGTACCTAGTCAACCGTTCTCTGAGATTTGTTTTCATGATAATCGAATGTAAAGAGTTTTATCTCTAAAAACTGTTTAGCGTATAACGCTAGTAATGGGGGCATATAATAAGCAAAAGTAAATCGCTAGTTAATACCACTAACAAGACTCAAAATAGCCCCACACTAACACAGTAACATAATGAGGGTCCCTACATGCAAAACGAAGCATTGAGAACTTTGTAAGTGTACAGACTGTTTAATAAGAAGATATTTTATAAAGACAGTCCACTTCGTGTATACAGACAGGAGCCATCTTTGGAAAACAGTCTCGACTAATCAAACCACGAACGACGTGCTGAGTGAGCTGAACTGTATGAACAGCATTCGTGGTTTGATTAGTCGAGACTGTTTTCCAAAGATGGCTCCTGTCTGTATACACGAAGTGGACTGTCTTTATAAAATATCTTCTTATTAAACTGTCTGTACACTTACAAAGTTCTCAATGCTTCGTTTTGCATGTAGGGACATGGGGACATTTGTTTCGATTATCATGAAAACAAATCTCAGAGAACGGTTGACTAGGTACCAATGTTTTATTAGACCAAAGGTTCATTTTGCGCCGGAGTTCTCCTTTAAGACCAAACACAAGCCTCCGCCAACCGCTTGCATCAGCAGTGGACTGAATAGGCACGTATGAAGTAATCCTACTATGGTTAGCGCCCACTTACCAACGTCTGGCTTTCAGAAAATGAGTTATGAATGTACTGGCCAAACGTTACATCACCCAATTAAAATTCATGAGCCGGCTGTTAAGGTTTAGAATGTCTCCCTTAACATTTCAGATCCTTCCTTACAGCCCTGAATTCGATCACATTTACAAATGATTGTTTTGGCAATAAGACCACATTTGCACATGATCATTCGATTCTCCTCTTCTAGTTTAGCATTTAAATTCTGGCAAGTAACAAAAAGCTCATACTTGTGACAAAACCAGAAAAGGCCCAGTTGATCCATCCTCCTATCAGAATCATTGGCAGCACATTGGTCAGATTCCCTTTCATCATGTCCATCAACATGCTGGGGTCTGGGAGCGAAAAAGGGACAGGTTTTCAGACATAGTGATGAAGCATAGAAGGTCATTTCCTCTAGTTCTAGGATGTTAAAGTAACATCTTACCGGTCATGGGGTTTTTGGGCATCACTTTTCTTTTGACCTTCTTGAAGAATCCAGTCTCAGGGTCATTGAAATAGTGCTTTCGCATGGCGAATGACTGTAGCGGGACAGCATCGTTTATCAGTGACACATTAAATCAATAAATAAAGGCCTGGTTTAACAGACAGGGCTTAGATTAACAGAAAAAAACAGCTCAAGCATGTTCGCTTGATGCGTGAGAACCAATGAGGTTCATTCTCGTTGTGTCAAGCAGGTTCGGTTGGGCTTCTGTTTATGTTCGCTGATCAATGTCTATATTCGAATAAAAGTTTCAATTGAATCTGTTCATCATATTAAGGGATCGAGTCTCTTCAGAAAATTTGGACTAAACCGTTCAATTCATATGGATTAGTATCACAATCTTTTTATTAACTTTTTGACGCATCAAAGTGGTAGTAGCGTAGCTGTCAATGGAGGGACAGAAAGCTCTCAGATTTCATTAAAAATATCTTCATTTGTGTTCCGAAGATGAACGAAAGTCTTTCGATTTGGAACGACATGAGGGTGAGAAATTAAGGTGAACTAATCCTTTAAGCCTTGTCTGTGAAGTTTTAAAAGTTGACTCCACGCAAATATCCTGGGAACTGTTATTCATAATTAAAGTAATTAATACCTGTTTGGGAATATATTTTCCATTTTCTCTCAAAATGCGGCTGCGTAGCAACACCTGGCTGTGGATTAAAACAACAAATCAATTAAAGTCTTAAACACCTCTGGTTATAAGATTAGATTAAAATGTTAGTCGAGACAAGCCTAACCAGAAAGTTTGAAGTGGTTTAAAAATTGTGAAGTTTGAAGCAGTTGGAAGTTTTAAATACTTTTAAAGTTTAAAGGTTTTAAGTAGTTTGAAAAGCTTGAATTTGGATTATTATTAGATACATGCATATGTGTTATGTGAAAACTGCAACAGTTCCAATGAGATTTTCTCTAGGATTCAATGTGCTTGCAGGGAATTAAATTGATTCAATGCATTTCCATTTCCATATTTCGTAATGGGGATGAATTAAAAAGTTCTGATGATCAGGTTTGGGCAAAACTGAAATGTCTCCTTTTCAATTCAGATGTATTTTGCATAATTACTTAAACATGTTTATTCCCTGATAATGCAGAATATACTCTGCAATACAAACTTTTATTTATTTTAACTGCCAAGATAAATAGACTTTAAATAGAAGTAAATTCTAATTTACATATAATATTACATTGTTAATGTTTTGAACTGTTTTTAGTCTATTTTCTATGTAAATGTTCTATATGTTGTGAGTTTGATAGCATGTTTATGGCTGAACATTTGCATCAGTTATCTCACCTATCAGACACCTGCTGCAGATCCACTTTCTTCTCATTGTGAATCAGTTGAGTGACGTAATGCCGCAGAACTCCGACGAAGAAAGTGATGAAGACTATGGGCAAAACAACCCACAGGCGAATACTGGAGTCAAGCAGCAGCTCTGGACCTGCCATTCCTATACTGACTACTCCAAAACTATCCTTTACAACTGTCTGAACTCAAAACACTGACACTTTTAAGTTTATTATAATGCTTGAGATTAAAGCACGGTGAAAATTCAAACTATTACACTTTTATACGAAAGAAACGACACATTGCTGCACGAACATGCGCCTTCTGCGCAGCTGCTGTTCGACCTTTGAACTAGTAGCGATGTGCCGTGCGATTCGTGAACGAGTTCAATTGAGTCGGATTTTGAACATGTTGATTCAATTCACAAAAAAGTCACGAATTGTAATGAATCGGTCCTTGCGCTTCTCGCTTCTCGGGTCTTCATTGAACCGAGTCTCTTTTGAACTTGCCAGTTTTATTGAGAAATAGAGCTGGTTATAATAAATATTTTGTGTTCGTGCATACATATTTATATATATAAAGCTTTACTGACGTTTTGAGTATGTAATATGCCACGCGAGAATGTCAGAGAGATCACATCATGAGATAAAAACGTTTTTAACCCGTCCCTTGAGACGAACTATTTCTAAGAACCGATTCGCAGAAATGAATCGGACCGTCGTCCCATCACTACTTTGAACTATGACGTATTTACATATGCATTTATATTTTATTATTCGGTTATTTAATATCACTAACCGATAGGTAAAATATGCCTTAAATATTACAAACTGTTTATATATTTTAAAGAAGAAAAAGAAAAAGTTAGCTAACGCCATTTCCGGTTTCGAGTACGTTTCCGTGTGTATCTTGTAAACAAGTGGAGAGCCACGTGACAGACAGAAGGACGGGTTAGCCTTACACGAGTATTTTCACACGAAAACAAAATAATCTGTAATCTGTACGTTTTTAATCGCCGCGTCAGCCCCGATGTTTGATGTAGATTAATAGTAGAAACGTTGATTATTGTTTAAGAAAGTATCTCTGTATTATATATCTGCAACCATCTTTTTTGTCACATCATGACTTCTGAGACGGCAGGTATTGATGAAAAAGTCTTGCAGTATGAGACATTTATCAGTGAAGTGTTGAGACAAGACTTACAGTAAGTACCATCACTTGATTATGTCTTTGGTGAAATACATTTTTGTATTGCACGTACAAAAGCTCCCATAGTATTACCATGTGTGTACCATGGTGGTAATCCCATGAGTTCAATCGCAATACCATATTTTTACATGTAGCATGGTAATACCATGTATTCTTTGCTCAATAATGCATTAAAGTATAAAATAAAGTATTCCCATAGTGCACAATAATGTATATTATTATAACCTATTCTAGTATTATATGTATATCTCAATATATGTATATCTTATTCTACATATTAAACATTCATATTTTTGTAAAGCTTATCTACTGTTATTTCGATTCTGACAGGAAAGTGTTGGAGCAAAGAGATGCGGTATATGAGAAAATAGCACAATACCTTCAGCTGAAGAATACAATACAAAGCATTCAGGTAGTTTTAAATCCACTATTTTGTGCTTGTTCTGAAGTCCTGCACTCATATATTTCCATATATATATATATATATATATATATATATATATGAGAGCGCGTTTTTCTTCCTCTCGTTCTGTATTGTGTGTTTTTATAATAAGTTGTTTCACTGTATTTTATTCATCTTTAGGAAACTGACAGCAAAGAACTCAAAACTGATGTTGACCTTGGCTGCAATTTCTATGTGCAGGCTCATGTGTAAGTATTGCAAGTCTGATGTCGGCTCACTGTGCCTCAATGCCTCTGTCTAACATTTTGAAAGAGCAAACTCATAAACGATTCATTTGTTATCTAGACCTGATGCATCAAAAATATATGTGGCAGTTGGTTATGGATTCTTTGTCGAATTCACCCATGCAGAGGCTTTGAAGTTCATAGAAAAGAAGACGAATCAGCTAACCGAGTAAGAGGACTTTTGGTTTTATTTTTTGATCGTTTTGAAATTTGCATGTATGCCCAAGATGTTTATCATTATTTTAATTCTTTAGGTATACCGAGGTTCTTACCAAAGATGCAGCAAAGATAAAGGCCAACATCCGCATGGTTCTGGAGGTACAAATGATTCTGCTTTATTTTTTTTGTCCCTTTTACAGTTTATTGTGATGAGTAAAAAATGATCTGTTCTCACAGGGATTGAGGGAACTGCAAGGTCTTAAGGATCTTCCAGAGACCAGAAGGAGGGAGGTGTTGTAGTACATTAATCAGCACACACAGTGTATTATTTTTGCACATATGACTGTAATGTTTGTTTCAAACAATGTGAACATTATGGCAATCAGTTCAGAGGAACGTTGCCTTTTAACAGGTTATACTGTTGTTTTGAAAATTTTGCTGAATAAATTGTAACATTTTCAGTACAACTTTCTGTGGCATTGTGATCATTTTAGATTTATATCGCTGTTTGTACATGCAATACACTAAAACACATAAATTCCTTCATATAAGATGAGATTATCTATATGAATAGATGTGATGTCGAAAAAATAGGCTTACCTTGTTTAGGTATGACAAGCAATTTATTATTAAAATTGTATTATTGGAAATGAAGAATTTCATGATCTGCTCAGATCTTTGGTGTTGGTTTGAGTCTACCAGTAATTTGAGCATTATACTATGCAGCTATTCCATATGTATATATAACATTAAAATATGTTGTGGGGGAAAAAAACGTTAATGTGAGTTTATGCTGATTCTGGAATTTAAAAAACTTCAGCTCAAAATCAATCTAAAATACAAGTAGTATTTATTTGTTGGTTGTATCTACAAATAATAAGAGGATAAACTATATAATCAGTTCTGTGCTGCATTTGGGATTCAATAATCACGTTGAAATTAATTGATTATTAATTAAACTTTGATTTTAGCTGTTCTGATTGATGAAGACAGTGGTTAATGTTAAGTTTCTGCAGCATCCATATGACGGCTACCCTGTCACACTAGTAACAGTTGCCATGGAAACTGGATGTTGAATTGTGGCAGCACTGTAAGACTTGCTTCCTGAAATAGATTATTTTTCTTTGTACAAAGACTCACTGCCGCATTTGGGCACAATGACAATCACTATAATGTGACAGTATCAGCACTGGCTGTGGAATTTCAGATGATATATTATTCCGGATTTACAGAGACCTTTATTGTACTTACGAAGTCCAATGAATCAATGTCTGAAGATCATCTATGCTTCCTATATTATTCTATTACATATGCAGTATGCATTGTTTTGGCCATACATTATGTTAGGGGTTTTCAATCTTTTAGACGTCACAGACCCTCAAATGTGATCAACCTACCTGGCAGCTATAAATTATCCTCTTTAAAGACCCAATTTATACTGTGAAAAAATGATCATAAATCTGTGTAAAATATATATGAAAAATATTTTGGTTACATTATTAATTTAGTTTCTACTTACTATAGTACTGAAAAGTTAGATGTATTATTTATTAACTCAAATCAAATGTACATTCTTTTTTATTTCAATCATTTATTTATTTTTGATCACATTTATTTATGTATAGTTAATGTATTTAATTTTTTTTACACGGTTTTTTCTAAACCTTTCCACGGACCCCCTAGCACTCTCTTGCGGCCCCCATGGAAAACCCCTGCATGCAACATTTCCGGGCAATCCTGCAGCAGCAACCTGTGTGTGTGTGTGTGTGTGTGGGTAGTAAAATGTGAATATTTTGACATGGTGGGGCCATTTTTTGGTCATGACGAGGAAAACAGCTTTTAAATCATACTAAGTAATGTTTATTTAATGTAAAAATGCAGAAAGTTGTCTGTGATGGGTAGATTTAGGGGTAGGGTTATGGATAGGGGATAGAATATACAGTTTGTATAGTATAAAAAACATTATGTCTACGTAAAGGTATACAACCTATATGTGTGTGGGTGAGAGAGAGAGAGAATTTACGCATTTTCTTTGTGCAAAGATTTTCATTCGACCTTGGTGCTGAATAAAAAGTCTCTCTCCCCAAGAAGAAAGCAACACATAAAAGTTTGTCCTCTCGTTCATTTTGCTCTGCTCTACAGCTGACTCACGTCATGCCTGTGCAGTGACGTCACGGCCGCACAGGGGACTCGCGGACCAAAGAGAGGTGGAAAAAAAAGAAACAAGTAGTCGAGGCGTTCGTGGAAACAGGAAGCAAAGAGGGGGAAAGCAGAGCGGAGGTTGTTGTTGTTGTTACAAAAAAAAAACCCAAAAAAAAACTTCGGAAGGGAGCGCTCTGTCTTTTACTACCCCGGTATTTTGAGCTCTTTGGACCAACAGTGCAGCCGCGCTTGCGGTTGGCTAGATCGCGAGGACTTTCCGTCCGTTGCCTGGACACCGCTGAAGGAGGGAAGATCGCGCGCTTCGCGCCGAAGTGGACGGAGCAACGGCTACCTGATCAGGAGTCTCGTTTTATTTGCCCTCCCTGACCGTCCACCACACTGGAATGAACCCCACCTTACTGTTTCTTTATCACTTTAAAGGCAGGGCGTGACATTCCTCCTTTTAAACCGCGGCCCTAGTCGATTTTACTGGAGTATTTTGACGTTTGAAGAAGTCTTCAGTTCGTCTGACAGGAACGGTGCACGCGCAGGCAGCGTGAGCTAACGAAAGCTAGCGACTTAGCTGCTAATGTCAACTAACATGGAAGGAGAGGTGCATGTGTTACATAACAACCAAACGCAATTAAATCGCCGACTTCTGACACCCAGCAAGCACAGTAATGGACGTGATTTAATCTCCAAAGAATAAAACCGCCCATAAAGACATTTTTTTGGGAGAGATGGAGTCCAACCCGCTGATCAGCGGTAAGTTTTATTCCACTTCAAAGAGGTTGGACATGGAGGAGTAATTGCATTCGAGTTTAATAAAGTACTTGTTAGTCAAATAAAGACATACATTCACAACAAGCTCTGTTTTATTCACGGTTAATTTGTCCATGAGTAGGATGGTGAACCAGAACGTTGTGTTCAAATCAACGTGATTGTCCAAAAAGTATTAAAGGGACCATACACATTAGTGGCATTTACTCCTTACTTTGGTCAGGGTGGGTTAACAAAACCTGTTGGAAGCCTGATGCACTTCAACTGTGTTTGAGTAACGTTAACGTAACATCCAAATCCAAATGTCTGACAGTGTCTCCACAAACATGCCGCTTTTTCTGAATCAAATACAGTATATCAATGTTTGGCTGACGTGTTTGTCTCCTGGTTATTTGTGTACTAACCAGCAAAAGATTTAGGATATATTTTAACAGAATTGCATTTGTTTCAATTGTTGTTGTATATTAAATATTTTGATATTGAGTGTTAGAGCTGTCAAACAAGCTCGTGCCGTTGTATTTGTCAATGTGCTATAAAACAAACGTATTACCTTATAGGTATTATTCGATTCCTTTTGTACAACAAGGCATTTTTAATTACTCTTGACAACTTTGATCCAAATGCATAATAACTTGCTGCTTTCCAAACGTGCATTGAACATGATTGTGCAATGCACATGGCAGCTTGTCTCTACTGTGTTTGTTTGTGTAAATAAAACCAGTGTCATATTAACCAGCAGACAGCATGTTAACCCAAGGAGACAGGGTGGGCACATTGATGAACCTCCCAGGAACTGCTATGAAGCCCTACTTAAGACAAGAGTACATTTTTATTGGGGATTTGTTTGGTTTTAGCACTGGATTAATTCTGCACACATCACGGTCCTGTCTGGCTCTCTCCCCCTTTCTGATGGAAATTCATTCAATTGGCTATAAGTCATCATGCAGCCTGAGAACTCAAGATAATTGACTATTAAGCATTGAGGTCCCCAAACAGTCTTAAGGCAATAAGGCGGGGGAAACGGATCTGTGTTGTTCAGTGCCGCTTTTTATTTGCTTTTCTCAGATGTACAGGCTGATTTATGAGGCATTAGACTAAGGCAAGCTGTGCAGTGTTAGTCCCTTGATTAGTCATGCTGGAGCTCTTCAGCTAGAATGTAACACTGCAAGGTGTATATGATAATCCAAGTGTAAATAAGACAAACGTGCATCTGATTCTTTGGTTTTGGCACCACTATGACATTTTTACAGTGACCCTATGGTTAATTTTGCTATTAGATTTGGATGGCGGTATTTTTTTAATGAAAGTGTAGATGTGTGGTTAAATCACCATAGCAGTATAGGTTTTTCATGAAAGCTTTGTGCTTTTGGGAAAATCTGAAGCTGTTTGTTTTACTGGCCTAAACAGTTCAGTAGATTCTGCTGTTAGTGCTGCCTTTAAAGCACTTTATAATTTTATATACCATTATTTATTATGTTGCTACATTATAGAGGAGTTTCTCATGATGGTACTCATTCTTTTAAAGTGCCCCTTTTATGCTTTTTTAAAGGTTCCTTATTTAGTTTTGGAGGTCTCCTGCAATAGATTTACATGCATCCAAGGTCAAAAAACACTTTGATTTCCTCATAATAACATTGCAGCATCACCTCATTTATCAAAGAGTCTGAAAACGGTTCGTTCGAAAATTCAGTCTCTCTAAACCCTCCTTACCGAGAGCCTACTCTGCTCTGGTTGGTCAGATGACTCAGTCTGTTGTGATTGGTTTACGAGTGTCGAAAAATGAAATGCCCCATTCCCATATCTGAATTTCACGCTTCCTCAGCATTGATACACATCAGCATTGATACCAGGGATGGAAATTAGCACCCGCCACCAGCCAAATGCGGGTGATTTTGTGTTGTGGCGGGTAAACTCGCTTCACCTACCGGCCGCCGTGGCGGGTAAATAAAAATAGCATACTGTTTCACCCGGACGGCGGACACTTTTAGAGGAGGCACACCTTCAAACAAAATGTGGCGTTACATCGCAGGCGTAGAGGTCTGCAGAGAAAACATCATGGTGCGTTCACACCAAACGAGATTAGAGCGTCTGGCGCGAGTGATTTCATTGTTAAGTCAATGCAAAGACGCGTTACGCACGTAAAAATTCCTGCGGCGCGAATGAGGTGTAGAGCGCGCCGTGGTAGATGCGAATACGCCTCATTCGCGCGGCAAGTTCGGGCGTCTGACGCGTTCCGCGTGCATGATTTTATTGAGTGCTTTTGTGCATTCACGCGTTTGACGCGAACTCGCGTCTGCCGCCCGAGTTGAAAAATCTGAACTTTAGCGACAATTCGCGCCGCGTTAACCAATCAGGAGCCTAGCTGCTGTCACGTGGTGAAGTATCTGGATGCTTCAATAAATTATTTTGTACTAAATGCCTGATGTGGTTCTAATGCACAACAAAGCAAATATTTTATCACATAAAACTTGATTTCAATATATGAGACATATTCATTTTGTATTGAATGCTATTTATTCCATTTCATATCTAGATTATATTAAATATTATTCTTATGTAAAGGCAACCAACATACTATAGCTCATAAATCCGTGTCTGGAGAGTGTTGTGTGAGAGAGAAAAAAATCACAGGACAGGTTAATTACTTTTGGAGGCTGGCTCAATTTATCATCAAAACAAAAATAAATGACAGATTAGGTGGATGAGGCCGAGGGTGAGAGAAAGAGAACATGTCAGTATTTCATTGAGACTTGAGATTAAATAAACTGCTTAAGTATTCTTGTAGTATTAATTTTCACATGCAGTTACACATTGTCGGTTAAAAACAAGAAAGTGGCTGGTAAAAACATTGAGTGGCTGGTAGATTTTGAAATCCACCAGCCACAGTGGCCGGTGGACAAAAAAGTTAATTTCCATCCCTGATTGATACACAACAGTAATGTTGGTGTCGGTTTTACCCCAGTCCTCATCTTTTGGAGGTGCATGCAAGTGGATTCGCAGTGCTGAAAAACAGCGTCTTCTCGACATGACGACAACACGAACCAAACTCTTCCAGTCTCAGCTACAACTACAGTTTGAGTGTCAAAGTAGACGTTCACGGGCAGCCAATGAAGACCATAGACTGGCATTATGCAAATTTGAAAGAGGAATTAAAAGCATCATAGGGGCACTTTAAACAACTAGCTTTGTTTTTTCAATGACTGTTTATTTAGGGATGCAACTAGTTTAAAATTATGTCTGATATGTTAAGCCTGTACTGTTTTATAATCTATAGCCTACTATTCGCGCTTTTTATTATAAATCTAAACTGAAAAACTGAAACTAGTCATTCTTGTCAATGTCAAATCAATGTTGTGATGATTAAGTGAATTTAGACATCACAATATTATAAAGTACAGAATAAAATATTGGTAACTTAATTTTGAGCTGAATAGTTGATGAATAGTTAAAATGTGGAGATGATAAATTCCTAAATATACAGTTCTTAGTATAAGTGAACACACCCATGCTAAAGTTGACTAAAAAGAGGAATCAAAAATCATCTTTTGGAAATTGATCTTAATGCCTTAATTAAAAAATTGAGGAAAAATCCAACCTTTAGTGGACACCAATTTTCTTTGTGAATGAATAATGTATCGTAAATAAATAAATGTTCTTCCTTAAAATACAGGGGGCATAAGTCAGGACACCCTTATGTTAAATTCCCATAGAGGCAGGCATGCAAATCAAACCAGCTATTAGGCTAACTGAAATAAAACCATGCCAATCTCTAGGTGTGGTGAAGGGAATGTGATGATGTTGGGATATTTTAATTCCAAAGGCCAAGGGAACTTTATCAGGATGCATAGTATCCTGGATCCATGAAATAACTGGCCTTTAAAAAAAAAAAATAAAAAAAAAAATCTGCCTGCCTCTATAGGAATTTAACATAAGGGTGTCCTGACTTATGCCCCCTGTATTATAAGGAAGAACATTTATTTATTTACGATACATTATTCATTCACAAAGAAAATTGGTGTCCTTAAAGGTTGAATTTTTCCTCATTTTTTAAATTAAGGCATTAAGATCGATTTCCAAAAGATGATTTTTTAGTCAACTTTAGCATGGGTGTGTTCACTTCTGCTAAGCACTGTAGGTGGGACTCTTAAAGGCTCTTAAATATTTGTTGAAATTGAATGCTGTCGTTTCATGTTTAAATGATATAGCAGCTAAAGAAATCTAAATTAAAATATACAATATTGACTAATACTCTAGATAAATAATCTTGACAAATGCAGATTGTTCATCTATAAAAAATTACCTTTTTCCTTTGTGTTCTTTTTACAGTATAGTTACACAAGCACTTTTTTATATATTGTATTATATGTTTAGTACTATGCGTAATTCTACATTTAACACATTTTTAATTGATCTATTCATATTAATTGCTTAAAACTAAAGTGATATGTATTCAGACAAATCTTTCATGTAATATTTTATGGATGAATAACATTGAGTGTTATTCTTTTTCACCGTTATTGGTCAAATTAATTCGACTTTCAAGCCAATCTACATGTTCTCAATGCATAATTAATTATTCATTATTGTGTATATTTCTAGCAGGCTGCAGGAACAATTATTATTTTCCACTTTTTTGTCAGTCTGTATGGAAATGAGTAACTTCAGCAGTTTTGCAAAGAGATGTTGATTTGATGAGTTCGTGTAGATAATAGGCTAACAGGACAATGTGACATTTAAATCCTGAACTACAGCTTTGTAAAAACCCTCTGTTTGCCTTGGTGTGTGGTTGTTGCACAAGCTGCCCACAGGATATTCTTCTGGTGTTTCAGTCCTAGAATGACACCATTTATTAAAGGCATTTTACTGTTAATGAATGCACTCACTCAATCACTTACAGCTCATTTTAATGACATTTTAATTAATGAATGTGTTAATTAATGAGATTTTGTGCGCTGAGTTCAAATGGAAACGGTTGCCTTCATTGTCATCAGCAATTCCCTGCGATTTATTTGGTTCAGTGTGCTTAAAAGGTGGCGGGGTTTTTTATATTCCTTAGAAACTGTTGCTTAAATGCTTTTACCATGGTGATCGTTTCTAAGGTGTTGCTTATGAGTTACGTAAATGGGGGGGGGGGGGGGGATGTTAATCGAGTTCATTTGCATTCTCAACATGTTCTTCCTGAACTTGTGATACACGTCCTCTGCTGACTGTAGCACCATTAATTCTTGCCTGTTTTCCCTCGATGTCACTGCAGATAAAATGTTCACTCTCCATTTACACTCATCTACTCAATCCAACCATAAAAAATGCCTAAAGAAAGAGGATTTAATTTACTGTACTTGGTTAAATCCCAAAAGGCTGGTTTTTTTCTAACATGGCTGCAGTTCCAGAACATATTTACCATGAAAATGAAATCTAGGTATTTTAGATGCAGTATTTTTTGCAACATAGCTAGTAAAACCAGTCCTTGTGTTTACAGCACATATGATTTGATTGTGAGATATTGGCATATATTTCAGTAAAAAGTTAGTAATTACAGAAGGTTGTTTTACATTTAGTTAGAACTAATTGCTTTGTCCTTTGTAGTAGTCCCTTTTCAAATCTTAACATGGTACTTAGCACTTACTTAGCACCCCTAAACTTTAAACAGTAGTTTACAAATACTGCCTGGTTAACATAGTGTGTTTTCTGTGCCCTGTAGCGATGGATCCGTCCATTACATTGTGGCAGTTCCTGCTACACCTGCTGGAGGATCAGAGTCAGAAGCACCTGATCTCCTGGACGTCTGGGGACGGGGAATTCAAACTGCTGGATGCTGAGGAGGTGGCCAGACTCTGGGGGCTTCGCAAGAACAAAACCAACATGAACTATGATAAACTAAGCAGGGCACTTCGTTACTACTATGACAAGGTATGCATAGGAATCACTATGACTGTGAATCAGGCATTTGGTCCGTTTCATTTGGCCCTATTTGGGATGGTATGACCATAGTCTTATTTCACAATATGAAAAAAAATTATTTCACGATAACAATATCTTTGTTATTAAAAATAAGAAAAAAGCAAATTAAAGACAATAGGACAAATACAATAAATAAACAGTTTTTTATGTACAGCAGATTTATTTAAGATGTAGTAAGAAATGTTACAGAAATTGAATAAATGTAAAAATAAAACACTGCATAGTCTTTACTGTATACACTAAATATAAATTGATTCTTATTAGAGATACAAAAGTTCATTCATTCAAGAGTAGTGAGTGTTTTTCTCTTTGTTTTTTGTTGTTTGATTAACAATAATGACACGGTAGCAGGTTTATTAAGCTGAAATCACTTTAAGACCTAATGCACAGATCTAATATACTGAGTCCTGACTCATATCCGGTTTTCACCCAACTGTTTAAGTTCACTTAAGACAACCAACTGTGTTTAAGTGAATACTACACACAATGAACATTTTGACATAACTATGTACAACTGACCTTTCAATAAATCTCTTTATATCGTCGCCACGATATATATCGTCATACCACCCAGCCCTAGACCTAATAAAAACTTTTTTTTGTTGTTGTTTATAAGAAATTAATACTTTTATTCAGCAAGGATGCATTAAAGTGGTCAAAGGTTTGTCACTTATGATCACTTTAAAGCATCCCTGTGGAATAAAAGGCATTTGAAATGTTACAAAAAGATTTCTTTTTCAAATAGATACTGTTCTTTTCAACTTTCTGTTTATCAGAGAATCCTGAATAAATTCATCAAACAGCACAACTGTTTTCAACTTTGATAAAAATGCCTGATTCACAGGGCGCAATGTCTCTTGAGCAGTAAATCAGCATATTAGAATGATTTCTGAAGGATCATGTGACACTGAAGACTGGAGTAATGATGCTGGAAATTCAGCTTGGCATCACAGGAATAAATTGCATTTTAAAATATATTCAAATAAAAAATATATTTTAAATTGTAATAATATTTCACAATATTACTGTATATATACAGTATGTACTGTATTTTCGATCGAATATATGCTGCAATAATGATCATAAGAGACTCTTTTCAAAAACCTTACTGACCCCAAACTTTTGAACAATATAATAGCCTGTATATTTGATATATTAATTTAATGATCGCAAATGAGATTAAATAAATGGAATTAAACATTAAATTGACATTATTTACTCAAAATTCATGAATTTCAACCATTTAATCAGCCTGGACAATATTTCAATCTTTCACTATTATTTTCCCATGAATAAATTATAAATTTCTGGAATTTTGTATTGTATTACTACAATAAAAAAGATTTTTAAAACACACTAAAGATAAATAGGAAGGGCTTGGATTGTTATAAGGTGAATATTATTATTGCTTTCATACTCCCACAGAATATTATTAAGAAAGTTAGCGGCCAGAAGTTCGTCTACAAGTTTGTGACCTATCCGGACCCTACCTCTGCTGATGGTCTGAGAGGGCCTGAGGATTCACAGAGGACCACTGCGGGAGAGAAATTAGAGCTGTCCAATCAGACCAAACTTCAAGGTGCTGCTAACAGCACCAGCCCGTGTCTCTCCAAGAGCCTGCAGGTTCAGCGCTCTTCCCCCAGCTCGGTGCAACGCAGCTCCCGCAACGATTACATGAAGTCTGGTCTCTACTCTACTTTCACCATCCAGTCCTTGCAGTCACCCTGCAAAAGCACTTCTAAATTCATCAAAACAGAGCACGTCTTGATTGACGGCAGCCCCAAACCTGCCCCTCTGGACCACACAGTGCATGAGGTCAGCTTTATTCTGGATTTCATGTTTTTGTCTCTGTTCAGTTAAACGAGATATCAACGGTTTGTAAAACCTTGTGAGGCACATCAGGTATTTGATTCACAGTGATTATGTATGTATATGTTGCAGATACGAATGTGTCAGACAGAAGGGCAGCAGGGAACTGTTCAGGCCCAGTCGACTGTGGAGAGCAGCAGTCTGCAGGTGATAGTGACCCACCCCTCCCCATGTGCTACACCCGCTCTCAGCCCCCAGACGCCCTCTGGCTCAGCCACTGCAACCACAGTAAGAATGGCTTGTTTTGGGCAAAATCGTCAGTCTTTGATTGCCTCGTGTGACATGTTTACAGTCGTGCTAATTATAATTGCAGTGAATCTCAGCCTCTGACTAAGTTCTGATAGTGTCAGAAATTGCATTGGATTCATGCAAGCCCTTTCCCAATTAATAAAATCAAGTCCCACACAGTTGAAAATGTCACAGTATGGATGTAAAAGAGTTACAAACTAGTTTTTTATCCATTGCTCATTGATGCACTCATTGTAGCCTCCTGGTCAACATGACATTGTTAGGCAGATTTATAAAAGATTATGCATTATGATTCGTGGAAAATGCCTAAAAGTCAGCTAATCAGCATGCAATCCAACACCCATGATAAATACTGTTATTATTATGACATCTGTGCATAAAAACACTGTTTTAAATTCATCTATCCATCCATCCCACAGAATGCTCAAGCACAGAAGAGCCAGAGTTTGGGTGACCCACCACAGATCTACTTGTCCGATCCCAGCTCTCTGACCTCGCTAATTCCTCTGGCTCATGGTGAATGTGTTGTCAACCCCTCTCAGCCTGTGTTTGTGGTCATAAAGCCTCCTTCTGTCGGGCTGCCCAAAGAGTCAAATCTCCCGCCTGAGGAAAACTTGCTGAAGATTGTCGATCTGGATGAAAAAACAGATGTTGAGGTGAGCAGACATGTCACAGTCATTTATGAATTATTCCGTGGGGGGTCTGGTGTTTGGTTGGAATGAAATGCAAGAGTTATTTATTCATTTTATCTGCCATACTCAGTCGGTGTCCACAGTGCCTGTCCCTGGAGATACAGATGCCCCAATCCCTGTGGATGAACCTTCACCCTGCGTGGAGCCAGTGGCCCAGCCGGTTGGAGAAGAGGAAGTGGAAGAGAATCCTGAGTTACCTGGTTAGTCAAAAGTTCTGGTTGATTAAATGTTCTGGTTGATTCCGGTTCATTAAAAAGACTTTGAGCTCAGAATAGCTGGTTATTCAAAGCATCTGTCTGATCTAGTTTTTAGGGATACTACATTTACAAATTCCAAGTGAATCTTTTTGTAATTGATAGCTCATTCCTTAGTGTTTTAGTCTCAGTTATAAAAGGGACATCAAATAAACTCTATATTAATACTTCAAGTGGCTTGGCAACTGTAAACAGCCTAGTGTTAAGCTAATTAATTGCTGTTTTTGAAATAATTCTTTTGAGCTCACCAAGTCTAACTTAGAAATTGCTACCACAGAAACACTAGGCTGTTTACAGTGGATCAAAAATACAGTAAAAACAGAAATATTGTAAAATATTATGACAATTTAAAATAACTGTTTTCAATATATTTAAATTTGTAATTTATTCCTGTGATGACAAAGCTGAATTTTTAGCATCTTTACTCCAGTCTTCAGTGTCACATGATCATTCAGAAATCATTTTAAAATGCAGATTATATGCTTAAGAAAGATTTCTTATTATTATCAATGTTAAAAACAGTTACCATGATAAATGAGCAGCATTTATTTGAAACAGAAATCTTTAGTATCATAATAGATTTTTTACTTTCACTTTTGATCATTCCAATGCATCCTTTTCCTTTTAAAAAAAACTCTTAGTAGTTTATATTGGTGGAAGAATTTATTGTGATTAGTTCTTTATCAAATGAATATATCTTTTATCATATTGCTGATTCCGCGTTTTTATAAAAACATTGAACAACTTCAAGGAATGCTTTACAGTTATTCAACATAGTTATAGGTCAACAAAGACCGCAGTGTTTAAATCGCCAATTTCAGCCCTTCATTCAAAACTGTTTTCAGAGGACACCAATACTTCATCAGCCTCCCTCTCAGAGAGCATGCAGGAAGTCCAGCCTCCTAAATCAAAGAAGCCACGTGTGCTGGAGCTGCCATCCTCGTCTACACTGCTGCCCATTGGTCTCTCACTGGATAAGGTCAATGCAGCGGTGAACAGCCTGCTGGCCTCTGGCAGTGCCACAAACACCTTAACACCCACAGTCATCACCTCCCATTCCCTGGTGAGCCATCCAGTTCATTATTATGGTTGTTTAAAAACATGTGCTTACATGTAAATGTACATTTTTTAATGCATTTAATTGAGTTAACAAATTTATATTCATCTGCACTATTTGATGGAATTGAATTAGTGCTGCTTGCAATAGCATTATTAAGATGAAACCCACATGAACACCTCAGAAAATATGTATTTTAAGCAGTTGACAGCCCTGATTTCAACACAATGCCCTCTTTTACCACATACAAGGCACAAAGAGAGTGATCACAGAGCTTTAGCATTATATTACAGTCAATAGAAATCTATATTACAATAGAATTGTGTTTTTAAGAGCTAGATATTTGCTTTTGTGATACTTTTTATAATTATCAGCAATATCTTTTGTTTTTTTTTGTGGGAGGCAACAATAGCATTTGTGTGGTATGAATGGATGCTTCACATGTACCAAGCTCTTACTCACACAGTCTCAATGTGATTTTAACAAAGCCAGAGAGATACGAATGCTTGTGTTACCAGATAACCAAGAACAAAGAGATACAACACAATGACCTTGGAAAATGGTTCATACACTCACACACACACAACCTCTTCAAATCTCTCTCTCACTTAGACTCCAGTGCTGTTGACACCGAGTCCGCTGCCATCAACCATTCACTTCTGGAGCACGCTCAGTCCTATCGCTCCACGCAGCCCTGCCAAGCTCTCCTTCCAGGTGAGACTTCCTGTCCACACAGTTTCTGTCCACAGCATGGCAGCAGCACACCATCTGTCTCCTCACACTCCCTCGGCTCATCGCATGGCTGAGAATTTACTCTCTGCCCACTCCATTCATAACCATCAAATGCATCACAACATATGACATATTTTCTAAACTTTTCTAATTGTCATGGTACCCGATATCTTATTTACACATTTAGTTGACACTTTTATCCAAAGCTACTTGCAATAGAGATACATACGCACTGTCACAGAGCCTGCAATATTCATAGCATACAATGACAGGTTCATTAGAAAGCTGGATTAGGAAACGAGCTGGAGCAGAGGAGCCAAAAGATGACTCCCCCCCCCCAAAAAATATTCTTGTGATCATTTTTTATGCTGAAATACAAGGAAATTAATGTATCTACATCAGTGGTTCTCAAAGTGTGTGTGGGGGTGAGGAAGAAAAAGATGGGGGAAAAAAGCCGTGGCAACAGTTTCAGCGGACGGCATCACTAGCTGTTTTTTGTGAACTCTCCACTCCCCTGCCGTTTTCTGGCTGGAAGACTTACAAGAAGCTGAGCTTGTGAGGCGGCCGATTATGTATTGTTAATGCAACACCACATTACTGGAATTTTAATTTAAATGAAAAGTTCTGGTCTAATAATCTCTCTTATTTTTTAATGTTTCAACAGCAACACAAAGTGAAACAATTGCAGGTGTTTTTCATTGCAGTTTAAAAAAAAATCTTTAAATTTTCATAATTTTTGGTGAAATTATTTGGTAGTCAGAAGTTGGGTACTAGATTTTATAAAAGTCTAAAGGGGGGCATCACTAAAATACTTTAAGAACCACTGCATTTTGGATGATAAATGGTTCTGTAAATTCTGAATGGATGAGAAAAGTTTCAAGCTGTTGTAAGTTAGCCAGCGATTCCCCCACTTATGATCACACATTATTTGAATTATGTGTTGTTTATATTATTATTTACAATAAATACAATAAAACAGTAACCTACAATTAGGCTAATTTAACTTATTATTACTATTATTGATAATAATAACAGTTCATAACCCTTAATTGTCGATTACAGTTTTATTATTATTTAATTATAATAAATGTCATTGTTACTGAATTTGGTGTCTTATCACATTTCTGTTGCCCCTTTTTTTAATTAGTTAATTCAATTCAATTAATTTATTATTATTACTACCATTATCAATAACTAATAATAACATTTATTACTAATTACTATTACTGTGTTTTATCATATTGCTCCCATTTTTATAAAGAAATGAACTAAACCTTGAATAAGGCTCTGCATTGTAGTGATTTCACCATGTTGTCTTTCGCTTATTCCTTCAGTGGATGTCAAATCTAGTCAAATCTAGTGTGCTTAATTTGATGAAGGCTTTAGTTTTATGGACTCTTCCTCAGAAAAGCATGTGAGCGTCCTCTGCTGGACAATATCAGCAGTGCAGAGTTTGGAAGGTTTACACGCTGTTAGTTTTAAAGGAACAGGGCCATTAAACCTAACCCTACATGAGCGACCTCCTGTCTGTCGTGGTAGATGTTCTTTTCGGACTAGTTCTGCATTTTTATTATTGTCTCTTTAATATTGTCCAGTTTAATTAGTGATTAGATGTTCCAATGTAAATGTATGATAGCAAGCCGTGAATGCAGTACATTAAAAAGTGTCTTTTAATAGAGTCAAGCTTAAATCCTAATTAATAGCGTGCTGTTATTCTTGCAGTTCCCCTCCAACGGAAGCAATCAGATCCAGATCCCGGCACTGAGCGTGGACGGCCTATCCACACCTGTCGTTCTCTCCCCTGGACCACAGAAACCTTGACTTGCGATTTAATTAATTTGTCTCTTGCCTTGGTGATTGGCTCACTCCCCAGCCAATAAGACGCTGAGGACGACCAATGAAAGATGAGACACTCCATAACAAGTTCTGCTTCGAGTTGGGCGGAGCCTCTGCTCCAATGATGACTCGACAAGAGGAGTGCGCTCTCAGTTGTCCTTTACGATTGGCTGACAGAGCTGCCCGCTTCTGGGCTTCATGGTGGTATTTCATAGACTATTTGCTCTTTTGTTTTTCCCTTTCCCTTTTATATGATCATCAACGGTTATTTATTTATTTTTGATGTGTCTTGGTGCATTATGTGATGTGCATTCCGGAATGCTCAGATTGTGAATTTGGAACTCTGAGATCTCACTTTATTTTTGATTTCTCACCGTAACATTATGAGTTATGGACCAGACGAGGTAACCTCTGATTGAATCAAGGCATGAAATGCCATTTACAGACGGAGCATTGCTTTCTTAAAAACTTCTTTCTTTTTGTGAAAATAGAAAGCATGCATTTGAAATCTGACAGATTAAAGTGCAAGATTATTTTTTCTTTGCCATTACAAAGACACAAATCAGTTTTTAAAAGGATATGACACACTGTTGTTTTAAACATTTTGTGTTTTTCCGTGGACAAAGGAGTCCATTTTGCTAAAGAGGCATTGGTAATGCCAGAGGAATGTCACGGCCATTCCCGGGATTTGAAGAGGTGGAACCAGGGAAGAAAGGATACGAAAGAGATTCAGAATGATATCAAGATGTGGAATGTATCAATCTTTTTCTTCTACGAAATCAATCCTTTATTTCAAAATGTCCTTCTTGTAAATATAAGTTGCACCCATTCCAAGATTTGACAGATTCAATGTTTTCCTGTTTTTGTTGTTGTTTTTTTTATATTTCTTTTCAAGGAGCCCTTTCTCTGGCAAAGCAGGCAAAGGTTTCAAAAGTGTCATGGCGAAGCGTCGCAGTTTCATGCTTCGTCTTTTTTTTCTTTTTTAAGGAAAATGCCAGAGGAGACCAAAGACCAGCTGTTTATATACAATCCATCTTCGCATCTCCATCCTTTTTTTCTCTTTCGTTTCACATTTTCTTAGTCTCTTTCTCATGCTGAGTTTCTATTTTCACGCCGCCACATCAAAGGGCTATAAGAACCTTCACACAACCAAAACGCTCTCTTGTTCTGACACTGTACATAACTGATACATCCGACTGGCCAGCTATAAGTGTAAAACTCAATAAGCGTTGTAAATAGTCAAAGTAATTTATGCAGCTGCTTTTGATATGGTTAGTGGTTTTGTGCGGCCTGCCTCCTATGCTATATGTTCGTCTGATGTGTTAAAATCACACTCACGGTTGTTACCTCAAAGCTGTCAAGAGCTCGACGCGTCAAAGCAGGCAAGCAAATACATTGCGACTCTTTCCTACTGACACACAAAGCCAACGATTATTTGCATATTTTCTAGCGCCTGTAGTTTGTGTATGAAGCTCAAGTTTCCTGTGGGGAAATCATGGTGGTTATATATAGCGTTCTACAGAAAGCTGTAGTCAGTGTTTATGGACAGTAACTGCCTCCACGCCATGCAGCCTTTCATCTATCATTTAATTCGACCCGAGTTTAATAACTCACGCATAACATACTTCTTTTCGATTTAAAAAAAAACAAACATTTGGGTGATCAGTGTCTTTCAGCTCTTTAATTTGGTGCTTTCGTTGTTTTATATCTGCGTAATTGTAATCGATTCGGGAGGATTTGCTCGTAGCATGCTGCAATTGCCTACACGTGTCACCTCTCAGTCCTCAGATTGTTCTCTCTTGCATTTTGTGCAACTCATGGCTGATTTGTTACGTGCCGAACCAATGCGAACTGTTCTAATCTCAGTGAATGACTGTTTGTTAACGTAAAGCTTTTGAGAAAGGCCGTGAAGATAATTGTTCACCACAGCTTTCGGTGGGCTATGATGTGTACAGATGATGTCACGGGCGCCACGTTGAAGTCGACACATTGAATGTTCTGTTTCGGGAGTCGCCGCCTCACGTGTTAAGCACAGTGACCTGGTATATCAGCTTAAATGTGATCAGATTCACACAAAACGAATTGACTTTCATTGGTGAGTTACTTGTGGTTCAAAATAATAAGCCTGCAATATCAAATAACTCACTGTGATGATGAATTTAGTGAGTTGCGAGTAGTACTTTCCCCATTCGTGATCTTTAATGCAGTGTGGTGAGTCTGCATACTGCTTTCAGCCGTCTTCTCAAGCTCGTCTGGATTTCTGGGATTGTTTGTGCCTCTGAATGTCTGTGCAGCTATGCTCTGTAATGCACTGCGAATGCGTTTAACAGCTGGTGACTCCTCCTCTTTCCCCTGCTATGATGCTGGTGTTACCTTTACCGTACATCAGCACTGATCAATACAGTGACAGCACACTTCCCCGAATCAAACTATCACATAAGTGATGACTTCATTTATCCCCAGATGGGTTGTTTACAAACTAGCAAGCTTAAAAGACAGAAATGGCGAGCCATATCTAAAACCATTTCTGTTATACAAATGTCGAAATAAATGATTCAAAAATCATTGTGTTAGTTCAGACAACGTTTAATATTGTAATATTAACGAGCCTTTGTCATGTTGATGAAATCGCTGCCCCTTTGAGATAACGAATCTAATGCTGCACGCCTCTGAACCTACAAAGACTGTTTGGGTATCTTAATACCACATTATTAATAGGCCTTAAAGTGGGATTTCTGGGTATGTGCTCGTCCATAGACGAACTATTTTGGTATTAATAGCTTCTAAAAACATTGTTCTTTTTTTCCCTAAAGTCATCCCAGAATATTTTCATGCGGAGTAAGGTTTGTTGTGCTTATAACAAGAAAAGCTCCAACTGAATATTAATTTAAAAAGTGTTTTCCCCTATCCTATTTCCTCATTAGAACCTAAATTGTGCAGAAATTGTATTTGTGCAAGTTTTAATTGTGCAAAAAAAAAATTTGTAAATGATTGTTGGTAACCAGCATGTGTAAATGTTCTAGTCACTGAAACCTTTATGCAAATGACATTACATAAAGCCATTTATTGAATAATTGATTGGACCGTAGAGATGGCGGCTGGGACGGTTTTTCTCCTTTGTGAAGGAGTCTTTAAATTATTTCCTAATACCAGCACAGATTTCATACCATGTACAATTTTCCATTGTAAGACAGTCAATCATTTCAATATTTCTCATTGAGAAAACCTGTTTAATGCTTGTTACCTGCTTATGAAGTCACAAATCCAAGCACCAAACTGGAGATGGAGTTGAAACGATTGTGGCTCAAAACTGTTAAGACATTTGCCTCATTTTGCTTTTCAAGTTACTGAATTTGAACATCTGCGGTTGTCAGATGCTGTAATAAGTCTTTTCACTTGTTGTTTCCTCTTTGAAATGTTACGTGGGAACTGTTCATGTATTCTATATTCAATAATGTGTTGGGAAATCTTGCGCTACGCATATATTTGTGTAAAAAAAAGAAAAGAAAAAAGTATGCTACTTGTGAAGAAGGAACACGTGGTCCTGAAGGACTCTTGGACTGTTGGGAAGCAGATCTCTGCGGCCTGAGCTCCCTTTCCCGGATGAGAATCACTCTCTGGGAGTTTATTTCATAAAGGGACGGAGAGGCTTTTATTTTTCTGAATTGTCTAAATACTATATTATATGTACTGGAAAGAGACAAAACTATTTTTCATCTGCACATTCTACTTTCTTTGTTTATGTGATAGATATTAATCTTGTTTTCTAAAGACAAAAAAAGACTCGGAACTAATATGAAAACAAATAAAAGGCTATTTTGTTCTTTACCTTGTTTAATATTCATTTTGTCAGTATATATCTGTCTATATATCGTGTGTGTGTGTGTGTGTGTGTGTGTGTGTGTGTGTGTAAGTGTGAATGAATAGTCACACATTTTAATACTGACTTGTGGTTACTGACTTGTGGTTAAAGAACATACATTTTTTGAATTATAAAGTCTTAGATGTGTATACCGGTACACAGTTATTCACAAATGTAGGGCTATAACTGATAGGCTTGTGTGGTGTGTATACAAACACACACAGGCCTCATGTAGAGTAATAGCAAAAAAGATTACTAAATTATGTATAACAGCAATTTAATGTTATTGGTCTCGCCATACAAGCACTGTCATTTAAAATATCATTTGCTTGATAAAAAAAAATGGATTATCAAGACACGAACGAACTGCCTAAAAAAACACTTGAGCAAAGAGCAAGATATCCATATATAATCCCTTTTTTTTTTTAACCTCAAAAATTGGATGATATAATACACGCCTCTTCCTGGTGTGTGACTGAAAATTAACACACACAAAAAAAATCCCTGAGGGACTCTGTTTTGTATGTCATGCCTCCTCCGGGACAGCAGCCCTCAGGAAGCAGAGAACAGATATTAATTAAAGTCAGGCTATAAGACCCGCACACAACACTGATTAACCAAAGCCCACAACACTCCTCAAAAAACTCACTTTCATTTCTGCAGAAATGCAAACTGAAAGAATGATGAAAGCGTCAGGCTTATTTTACCGCGTTGACGATGTTGGCGCCGTAAGCTACAGAGAAACTGGGAAGAACTGTTGATATGAAGAGATGCAGCCGATATACGAACCTGGAATAACCTTATGAAGATAAAGCATGTTTTAGAAAGTTTGTCAGGTAGAACTTTTAGTTCATGAACTATGGCTGTGTGTTCAGGATAGTAGCTACATCAAAACCTACTGCATTTGCTAGAATGTGAAGTATACACTAGGGTATCACTACGACGGAATAACAATGAATAATAACTCAATAGAGGCAGTCAAATAAAAGTGCAGGACCAAAATCTAATGATTCTTCTTTGTAAATTAAAAAACAAAAACAAAGCAGAGACTGTAGAATAAATGATATTTGAGAGCATAAGGCCTTGTTTTATTGCCCTGGTGCCTTGGGCGCAGCTGCAGATGCTCATAGAGCATCGGGTCGCTGCCTTTATTGCGCTGAATGGACTTCATAGCTTCACGCTGCAGGTTTGCTTTAATTGCACCTCACCCAAGGTCCCACAGATGAAGATCGTCAGTAAGGCTCATTAACTCCCAATTAACAGTCTGTTTACCCCAGCCACCACCTGTAAGCGCTCTCGGTTTATGTCTGTTCAACATGGATCCACAACTGCAGCAACAATAATCTTGTAGATTAAATGAACACGCTCCAGGGTGGAAGATGAAAATATGTGTCTAAACGCATATCAGGGGACTGAATACGTGACTCCTCTGTTTGGTTTATTAACTGCTGATGTTTAGTTTTTTGACAGCTCACTATCTGTGTGGATATGAAGGCCTGATAATTGGGTTGTTCTTAGAAACTGTGCCTTTTGTGTATTAAAATTGTTTTTTTATTTCATTTCATTTGAAAAGGTTACTGTTGAAATTATTATAATTGAAAATTAACTTTGAATTGAGCATATTTTCTCTCTTCAGGCCCAAAGTACAGGAGATGTAACCATTGTACCTAGACATATTTATCTTCAATAGGCCTATAGTGGTACTGAGATCATGCTGCATTCACACCGAGATGACAACATGTGACATTCCTAGAATTAATCTGCAGCGGT